CATGGAAACTGTTGCTCGGCGACAGGAGCTGATTCACAAGCAAAATATCGCCAGGTAAAATCCACATCTCACTAAAAATATCCAAGTGTGAAATTAACCAAGCCATTCATCCATGCTGGAGATGGGTTGGGAGGAGGCATCTTCAAGAAGGTTGAGTATGATAGAGAAATGTGTCAGATATCGATAGATCAGGGGTGGATGTTCACTTCATATCTTTATTTTAATTATATTATTCGTGCTGACGTGCATCTCAGTCCTGATTTCATTTCCGTGTTCCTGGTTTAGTCCTAAAATAAATACATTTGAGACTTGAGAGTTGAGCAAGAAAGAAAATAAAGCATTATAGAGGTGATACCAGCAATATTTTATGGTCAAAAGATAGGGATAGATATATAGAAAGATAGACAGATAGCTCATTTGATTGTGGCAATGAATTATTACTCGCCATTAAAAAAATCTGGTAATGAAAGGCTGTCAGTTTGAAGAAGAAATACATACAGATCAGATATGGAATGACAGAGCAACTTGTCTGCATTTTCACCATAAGTCGTATTAGTTGTTTGCGCTTCAATCTAAGAGGCAAAAAGAAAAAGGTCCTGGTTAATCTACCGAGAGTTCTTTCTGACCTCCATGGAGATGTTATTGCTTAGCCAGAAATGTTCCACAGTACTGCTTTAAACGTATCTACCTTAAATTTTTCATTCAAGGAGTTTTTATTACTCAAAAAATAACTCTACAAAGGTTCATTCTTACTGTGAGCCGAGTCACGTCTCCACAGATGGCCTATCACTTGACCTGCTTGTCTCCTGCTTAATGCCACATTGAGGAACATAATATCTTCATGAAAAGAACCGAAAGAGAACCCGAAAAGTTTCATAGTGCATCCTTATCTTTTTCTAATTCTGTTTTAGTCCAGGTGTATTTAAAGTTTGACTGATCTAACTCATGCTCTCTGCCTATTTTGTATAGAATGGAAATGAACGCCATACTGCATCAGAAAGAGCTGGAGAATGCTCATCAGAAGGGTCTCATTGGCATCGACAACTCCATGGTCTACCCCCCAAACGCCATGGCCTACAGGGGGCGCCAGCGAATTCCCGACGGCCACGATGTCTTTGTGCACCGCCCCAACTTAGATGATCTGCATTCAAACAGTATACTCATGTCTGCCAGCCCGTATCCACCCATCAGCACGCTTCATCGGGAGAGAGGGCGGAGAGCAGGAAGAAGACCCACTGTCCACAAGAACTCTGAGAATCAAGTGGTTAATATTAAAGGTCCAGTCGAAGATAAGAATGTAGAGCAAAGTCCTGGTGCGACGTCAGGAGAGGAGAAAGAAGCAGAGGCAAAAGGAGAGTTAGAGGGAGATAAAACACATCATCAGGCCAAAATAGACCCAGAGCTCACAACAGGAAGTAGGAAAACTTACAAAGATGGGGAGAATGGGTTGAGGAAAGTGAATAATCAGGATGGATGTGGAGATGGGACCAACGGAAGTGCCAATGACAAAGACATAACGAGCGGTGCGTTTCAGGAGAAGTTCATTTACCCCTCGGCGGCTGGGATGCCCTACATGGTCCCTATGATGGGCAATGGCTTTTTACCACCAGGTGAGAGCAAAATAGTTACAAAAAACATAATCATAATCATGGGTGATACTGCGACTTTAAAGGGGCACTGTGTACATTTTTTCTAGGAAGGTCCGCCACTTGCTTGTCTCCATAGAAACGACAGTCACTCAGTTTGCCTGCAATGTTCCGCAGTATGGTATTATAGACAAGCAGGATAGAGTTTAATTCCATACATTGGGGCATTCCAGGAAAAGCAATAATATTTCTATGGACACAAGCAGGTGGCAAACCCTTGTCCAGAAAAGTTACCTACTACACCTTTAAATTACAGTATCATATATTTAATTATGAACCTGCTCTGAGGATAGGAAATCCTCCAAATTGAAATTGTTTTCCAGCCTATAAGAAAAAATCTGATATGAATGAAATAACATGTTTTATTTTGCGATTGCCTGAATCAATTGTTTCACGGTTGGGAAATCATCCAGTATGCAAAACCCACAGCAATCCGAGGAGTATGTACTGTTCCAAAGATATTGTGCATTTCTTTTCATGTTGAAACTTGTCTTGTGCCCTCAGGGCCCTCTAACCTCTTCTTGAACGGCGAGGAAGTGGCAGAGGACATTAGGAAGTGGACTGTGAATGACGTGGTCAACTTCATCAACAGCATTCCCACATGCTCCGAATATGCTCAGGTTAGGACACATCACCTGTTTAACAAGTATCCACATTGACCCCTGGGAAATGTAGGATTCCCTCACTGATGGGATGGGATTAGAGTTCGCCACCTGCTTGACATGTTAATGAGCTGCCTGGATTATTCCACAATATGGCATTAGACCTAATTTTGCATTATAGTAAAATACAGCAGTTCTTATTGCACAAATATACCTTGAAAATCCCGCATTCTTACTTTTGAGTGGGATTGCCTCTCCACAGATATGACCTGTGACTTGGCTTTCTCTCCATGGACTGTGATAAGTTTAATGCAATATTTATCGCTGAAAATATTTTCAGCAATAATATTTTCATGAAGACAAGCAGGTGGCAAACCCTCCTCAAGGAAAGTTACATAGTGCACCTGTAAAATGTGTTAAGGTGACAGGCTTATATAAGGTGGTGTTATTATATTTCAAGGTGTTCTTATTTGTGCTGTAACTTTGCAGACATTTAAGGAGCACATGATCGATGGAGAGACCCTGCCGCTGCTCTCGGAGGAACATTTACTGGACACACTGGGGCTGAAGCTGGGGCCGGCACTCAAGATACGTTCTCAGGTAAAACACTCACCTCAAAAGGTCCTTAAAAAGTCTCCCAAATGTCACCATCCATTACATTTACAGCAGTGAGGCTTGGGGACCTCAACAAACATGAATATATGAATGAATTTACAAGAGATTGTTATAATATAGTATAGAGTAGTTTGTTATGGTGCATGACCTTGCCCTTGTCTGCAACCCTGAACGACTGACAGGGTATATGTACACGGTAAAAATTTAGCTAAACTGATTTTTTCCATAGACCGTTAAAAAAAAAAAAGTTTAAAGGCAGGTTGAAGGAGGCTAAACAACTTTGTGTTTGCTTATGTACATAACATAGATTTCTGTTCAAATACACATTTAAAACTTAGAAATCTGCCATTTGATTATTTTGTTTCAGAAACAGATTGTAAATAAAAGTATAGCTCTTCTGGTCATTAATTACCACATAGCTGATTAGGCCCTAACATGCTTTCAAATGTTTAATAATAATTTGGATGTTAATATGGGAAAGTAGTGCCATTGTTCAATTCAAAAGACATGAGTTTTGTAAGCGACAAGATTCACAAGGTTCCTGTTTATGCAACATTTTAATTTTTTTCACATTCATTCAGGTATATTTAGTTTATCGCGAAGGCAACATTCCTAATTTTTCTTCCTTCTGAATCCCTCTCTTGCAGGTTTCCAGGCGAATGGGCAGTCTGATGTACCTAATGAACATGCCTCTGTCTGGAGCGGGGATGCAGGGACCCCCAGAGAAGCCCGGGGACCGCTCCTCAGAAATGGGCTCCCCTGTGAACTGTAACAGCGATGAGATGGTGGCCAGTCCACGGGACCCGGACCTCCTCAAGTCCTCAGACCCCCACGAGACTGAAAACCACTCGCCCCCCTCCGCCAGCAGCGAGACAGCATGAACACACAGGGCCTAATGGGCTGTGTTGATATGATGTCATAACGTTCTCAACAAAGGGCTTGTATTTTGATACTGACATGGAGGGCAGTTTTAACTGGTGTAATGCAGATGTTTTAATATTGCATAAGTTATCTCTGTATTTGCTGGACCGTTTGGCATGAAGCAACAACAAGTCTCCTCTGTTAGGACAAATTAATTAAAATGATTTCTTCAGAACTTCAGAAAGTGGTGATATTATTCAGTCCCATTTTTATTCATTGTTAATATTATACAAGAAACCAATGATGTGTTTGAGTTATGGGGAACAATTGATCAAGTTAGAAATCTGAGAATTTATTTTTGATATTTATTTCCAAATAGTACCTAACTCAAACTATTTTATTTGTTCTGGGTGACAAATTCTGTCACGTGACAGGTGTGGGACTGGGCTGATGGACATTAAAATGGACATTTTATATGAATGTGAAACAAACTTTAAACTGGTGCTTGATTTGACAGCATGAATTATATCAGTAGGATCACTGTGTGTGGTTAGAGCTATTTTTGTATTGCAGCATTTTTCAAGTTATGTACAAAATTTGATAATCTTTGTGTTATATTTATTATAATATAATTATAAAATGATAGAATTGTTTTGTGTCTTTATGTTCCAAAATAATGTGTTTGATAAGGAAAGGATTTTATAAATAAATAAATGCAAAAGGATTTGTTTGTTTGTAATTATCACTGTTGAACAAAAAATGGTTGGTTTGTCTTACGAAGAGCTTTCCATGAAGCCTTGGAAGCTGGCAGTCCTGTTCTCCGCTGCTGTTTGTGCAGGGCACAGGTGTTAGCACTGGCTGAGCAAACAGCTGCAGTCCACTTTTAGTATACAGCAACATTAGTTTAAAGCTTCCATATCTGTACATTTTCAGGCTTATAAAAATACATTTTGACAATTGTGTTGTGCATTGGTATTTCTGGGTTTACAAGTTTAACTAATATGTTCAGGTTCTACAGTATAATGCTTAGTAACCCTGAATCCTCATGATGCAGATTGTTTCTATTCAATGGTTGCAGACTTCTGTAAGAGACTGACTGAAGCATAAGCTTTTTTTCCCCCATGTTATATTTCTAACCCAGGGGCTTGCCATAGGCATGTACCATAGACTGTATGTCATGTATAGTACAGTAAGTACAAAACTTACAGAACAGTAGTGATGTTCTACACATCCACATCATCAGTTGTGATCTCGCGATACTTTGTGGAGAGTGCGCGTGCGCAGGCGCGTGCTCGTGAGAGCTGAGTTGGAGGATCATGGCGGAGCGCAGGAGGCACAAGAAACGGGTCCAGGTAATGTGTTTAAACTCAGATAAAGCGGTGTGTGTCCGGGTTCACGGGCCTCTGTGAGCGGGCTGAGCCCGGAGGAGAGGCTCTGTGAGCGGACTGTCTCTGATAGAGTCCGGGAACTGTGCTCCAGGATCCACATGAAGTGATGATGCTAGCGGAGGCTAGCGCTAGCTCCAGGCAACAACAAATGTCTGTGTTCAGGTTTGGAGATGTGCGCTGAGCTTCAGAACAGTGTGTTCCTCTGGAGGAGCGCAGGCTTTGGGCTGGAGAATACGGCATACATGGAGAATATGGCATTCATGAGCCCCTTAAGCCTCTGTGTTTTGATTCACATGAATGAGCCTGTATAGGTTCGCTAAGCTGCGTCAGCTCCAGACCTGTTTACATAACCTGCACCAATTACAAGTATTTTCATACATTAGGTCAGGTACAACACTGCGCACGTTGTTACGCACGGTCCATTGTATTCGCCGTAGGGCCTTTAATCTCACACTCCCTGTAACTTCACGTACAAGTTTGGTTCCCGCGGATTGGCTGCAGTGCGCGTCATTTCTGCTTTATAACTCTGTGAATATTATGATCGTGTATTACATTTTACCTATGCTGTATTTAGTGTAACATTCAGTGAGTTTGAGGACGGATCCAGCCAAAGTCCATATATGATTCGTAACTGCACAGAGCCTACTATTATCTCAAAGATGATGCAAACCATGTCCCAGCTGAACAGGTTTGCATTTTGTACCAGTTACATAAGAACACTTTATCTTTGTAGTAACACAAACTGAACTGTAGCACCTCAATTTCAAATTAACTTAATCTAGTCTAATTCTCTTTTGGACCACCCCAGTGTTTAATTCACACAGGTTAATCCTGAAGCCGTGCAGCAGGTGTATCGAATAGGCCCTAGTCCCATGTTAAACAAAGACTTGTTTGATGCCACATTTGCCTCATGTTCCACAGAGCTGTATTAGATATTGGAGACTGAAAACTTAACTCTAAGATGGCTCCAGTTTGAGTTTGGGCATATTGTGAGAAACTGCGGAAACTTGTTTTTGGAATATGTATCATAATTGCTAGTAAATTTGTGATTTGTGTAAAAAGACAAGGTTTCATTCATAACTTCACAGTTCATATACTGAAACAGGTCCAGGTGAAGACTGAAATAAGGCCTATTGATGTTTTTCATTACCGGTACTAAAGTGATATTAGGGGATATCAAAATAATCCAAACTTGAATACTTGATGATGCTAAATCTTCAGTTCATTTCTGTGAATTGTCTTCTTTTTTTTTAGAAATTGTAACACCACACTATTTCTAGAATAAATTCAATTTGTGGGCATATTATTTGGCTTCCATGCCAGAAATTGACTAAATCTAATTACTAAATTACTGTTACTTGCCATTGGTGTGTATTATTTTTTATAGGAGCAAATGCTGAGTGAAAGAATTGAATTGTATTAGGTTACTATTCAGTAACCTAACTACTATTCAGATGATTTCTATAAATGTCCAGTTTTTATGCATTTTCTTTCTAATTTTTTCAGGAGGTGAGCGAGCCCACCAAGGAGGAGAAGGCTGTGGCCAAATACCTCCGCTTCAACTGTCCGACCAAGTCCACCAACATGATGGGCCACCGTGTAGACTATTTCATCGGTAATGCTGTCTTTGTCTCACTGTCTCTCTCTTTCTCACTGTCACGCTCTCCCTCTCTCTCCCTCTGCTGTTATATTTGTCTTTTCCTGTGACAGAAAGTCATGTTGTTTGAGTTTGTGGAAGTCACTGTTTACTCAGAAGCTGTGGGAGGATCTGAGCCTGAACTGAACTGGTCATTACACCCACTGATGTTACTACTGCTCTGTACTATAGTCGTCCATGTTTGTCTGTCAGCTGTCTGTACATTCAGAGTAATGTGATGTGCAGAGGTGGAACTAAAGGGGACATGTTTAGTAAAATGGGCTTAATGAGCTTTTAACCATGTTATAACAATTTGTTTACTCATAGTTGTGTTTTAATTGATTGACAGATCCATGTTTACGTTATGCTGCATTGTCCTGCATTTGAGACTTGGGTTCTTTGATGTTTTGTAACCATTTTTCAGCAGTAAAAAAGCCCCTGCTTGTTACGCTGAAATTGCTCTAAAAGTTCCTGTTTCTTTTTTTAAGCTGGTTTAGAGCAATACTGCAATTTACAATAAACAAAATGTAAAATAATGATCTACATAAGTTTTTGTTTAATACTAAATACCTGAAAAAATCTAAATATGCTTTCTTTAAATTTGGAGATTAAAAAAAACTTCATTATGGTCTTCCACAATGATTTCTAGAAATACCAGACAAGGTCAAAGTACAAATAAAAAAAAAAGTTTAAATAACACTCATATCCCAAGTGTTTCTGTATATGTATAACTAATTACTGGTTTTGTTGTGTTGCTGTGTGTCCTGTAGCCTCTAAAGCAGTGGACTGTCTGATGGACTCCAAATGGGCCAAAGCCAAAAAGGGAGAAGAGGCCGTGTTTACCACCAGGGACTCTGTGGTCGACTACTGCAACAGGTGAGTGCAGATATGAAGAAGAAATCTACATCTACTGCACATGTCACAGAAGTGAATTTACAGCAGTTAGGTGGACCCTTTTATAAAAACAAAAATTAAAACACAAAAGACTTTTAAAGATGTCTAGTTATCTATACCTTTGTTGAACATTGTCCCAGCTGAATGACTTTACCATAATAAAGGCATTGAAGCCAGTCATGTATTGATATAGTAATTATTTTCCATATTGATTATATACTGTAGACACTGTAGTGTCCAGAATAATGTAAATGCATTTATTTTTATTCTAATGCAGACTCCTGAAGAAGCAGTTTTTCCATCGTGCTCTCAAAGTGATGAAAAAAAAGCCTGAGAAAGATGTGAAGAAGGAGAAAGAAAAAGAGAAAGTGAAAGGAGACAGCAGCAAAGAGGAGGAGAAGAAGAACAAGAAAGACAGGAAGAAGGAGCCGGAGGATAAAAAGGAGAAAGAGAAGGAGAAGGAAAAGGAAAAAGAAAAGGAGAAGACTGTGAGTGTCACCACATCACAACACTTAGTAACAAGCTGTGTACACGTACATTTAACAGTTTAACCACAACATTTAAAAGTTAGTTTTAAAATATAAGGATCCACAAATGTGTTATAATAAATACCTACATAAAGTATATCTTCTTAAAGGACATATCAGGTAAAATTAACAAAGATTTTTTTAACCATTATAACAGTGTTCCCACTTCACTGATGTAAACAAAGTTGTATTTTGATGATTCTCTTGGAGTAACCATGTACTGTCCTGCACTTCTCTCCGGCTCCGCCCACTGCTCTCTTCTTAATTGCAAAACATGTAGGGTTCAAAACACTATTTTTCGACAATAAAAGCGCTTATGAGTTCGCTGCCTGTGTTGGTGAATTCCCACTATGAAAATTCTACGTCTTTCAGTTTTGAACAGGAAGTCAGTGACTTTGTTTTTATTATTAAGCCATCTCTGATCAACATTGCAGTTTACAGTTAACAAAATATAACATCTCTATAATATAAGTTTCAGCATTTTTATAGGGAGGTTTTTAGTCCCTGCTGAAATTCGGCCATCACATTCAAGAACATGTACTTTTTCTAGCACAGTACAGCCACATTTTAAATTGGGTTCTTGAGCATAGTTTCATTTTGTTTGTGCTCATCGATGCGTGGAGGAAAATCCATATTTCCCTCTTTCTGTAATGTTTTTCTTCTGACATTTCTTCTTGTCATACTTAAAGGATGACTGCCCTAGTACGCCCAAAAAGAAGAAGGAAACAAAAAAGAAGTTTAAACTTGAACCTCATGAAGACCAGCTGTTTCTGGATGGGAATGAGGTTAGTCTATAGTGTTATTTAGTTAGACAATACAATCTGAAATCAAAATGAACTAAAACAAAACAATCTTGTCTTCTATAGGTGTATGTGTGGATTTATGACCCTGTACATTTTAAGACCTTCGCTATGGGACTCATTCTTGGTAAGTTTGGGGTAGAGATAAGGGTAGATTAAATGCCCATCCAAAAATCATACATGCAGCATTTTATATTGCATAGTGCTGTCAATTGATAACCAAAAAAAGCTCTTTTATAAAGCCAGTTACATACTAGAGCAATAATAATGTACATAGCGCTGCAAATGAAAGAAAATTCTGGATTTCACTGTTGTTCGCTCATAGTATAAATAATTGTGAATAACTGTTAAGTCATAATATTTCTTCTCACAATTGTAACTGTAAATGTGATATATTGATTTCCTGATGGCAGATAGTTTGTCCTGACTTGTCCTGTCCTTGTGTTGACAGTGATCGCGGTGATAGCAGCCACTCTGTTCCCTCTGTGGCCGGCGGAGATGAGGGTGGGGGTCTATTACCTCAGTGTGGCAGCCGGGTGCTTCGTGGCCAGTATTTTACTCCTCGCTGTCGGTAAGAACTCAATAACATCTTTTTGGATCTCCGCACAATGATATATGCTTGAATCTATTGATAATATAAAGAGTTTTCAAAGTCATGGTCTTGACTTAACCACTTTTAACGGCATGTGATTTTGACATTTTAATAAACCCATGTTAAAGTTCAGGCTTGTGTAAACCCAGTAAAAACTAAGCTAGAGACCCATGCCTAACCAAGACTAACCAAGGTCAATAATATATTAATTCAGTCTTAAAAGAATGTAAATCCAAATATGTGAGATGTGCGGCAGAGAGGAACATGCAGACCATTAAATAGCATAAGTAATGGGCTTGATTGGATGGGCAAAAATTACATTTGTCAAAAAATAAACTGCACCTGCATTCCACAATTAGGATCTGATCTGAAAACCACAGAATTAGAAACTTACAACTTGGCACAATTCTGATAACTTGACAATTTCAAACAAGTGCGTATCTGTTACATGGTTAATGCTTAAAAGTGAACGTTTGAACAAATAAGAACCTTCTAAACAATAGTTACGAAAAAAATTTAAAAAGGATATGAAACAATTTGGTGTCAAACAAATGTTTCTCATGTTTAACTGATACACCAACCACAAAAGTAACAAAAATAACAACAATTATAAAACATAACAGGACTCTATCAGATAACACAAGTCTTGAGTTTGTTACAGCCCACATTATAATCCAGGTCATTCTGTTTGAGCTCAAGTCATCTCTCAATGATTAGATACAGCACTGAGAGTCTGTTACACTTTATAGGCTAAATTAATCCTAAAGGGTTTACAGACACAAGTTTTTTACAGTTTGTAGACTCAATAAATTCAACAATTGTTAAACTAAACACAACAGTAGTTTAATTAGTGGAATGTACGCTGATTGTGTTGTGATTGCAGAGGCGAGACTGTCAAAAACTAAAGTGAAACTTAAAAAACATGTTTTGATTGTTTTCATTGAATATAACATTTTCAAAACAAAAAAAGGTAACATGGTGATCTTGAATATGTTATGCGTGTTAATACTGTTATAATAATAAATAATGTTAATATTTTTCTCTTTCTCCCTCAGCCCGCTGTATCCTGTTCCTGATCATCTGGCTCTTCTCTGGTGGACGACATCACTTCTGGTTCCTGCCCAACCTCACAGCGGACGTGGGCTTCATCGACTCCTTCAGACCCCTGTACACCCACGAATACAAGGGCTCCAAGTCCTCCTCCTCTTCCTCCTCCAAGAAAAATAACCAGGACAAGGGAGACGACAAGACCGTCGGCACCTCCGCCAAAGCCCCCAAATCAGACAGCGACAAATCCGACAGCGAGAAGAAAGACGACGAAGATGATGACGAAGAGGAGGAAGCCAGGGAGGAGGGGTTAGAGGAAGAGGGGGTGGGGCTAGACGAGGAAGGGGCGGGGTTAGAGCGGCAGTCGGACACCGATAGCGACAGGCGGGAAGACGAGGGATCGCAACACAGCAACGGGAACGATTTCGAAATGATCACCAGAGAAGAGCTCGAGCAACATACAGAAGAGGAGGAAGAAGAGGAGGAGGAGGAGGAGGGGGGAGAGGACGAAGACGAGAGGGAGGGCGAAACGAAAACTTGTCAATCGTAAACTTTAAAGTCCGTTCGCCGTCACGACTTTTTCTGTCCCCTTTCACAACATTGTGTTTAGATGTTCCACTAAACATGACCGCAGACCAAGCCCAGTGTAAAGTCAATGCCATAAAGACAAATGGTGGAAAACTTGTACAAATCTAAAAGAAGAAGAAGCCTTATTTTGGTGGATTCGACGCCAAAATGTTATTTAAAACTGCCACTGGACATCCGCGTGTTTGCCCGAAGAAACCCACAACCGCATTTTCCACATACAGTAATTTCAACTCAGAAATGTGTTGTTTTTAGACATGATTCATCTTCATTTATCAGGGTCAAGAGTTGAGGTATAGTTTACATAATACTCACTGTAACACTCAAAAGCCCACAGAAAACGTCATGGCCCCTTTTGCACCTGTAGTGTTGGAGTGATGTTATTCAGAGGTTTCAAGTTATGGCTACGGTCCTTTGTTGTTATAGTAATTACACAACTTAGATAAAAAATATATTATTGAATGGTTAAAGCCATCACAAAGTCCTTCAGATCAGGAAGGAATCATTTGTCTTTGAAACCCTGAATTTCATTTTTAAACACATTACTTATGGTGCTAAAAATTCACCCGTTTTCACATTTTTTATTAGCACATGGTCAAGTATGGCATTTTCCATTTCTTTCAAAGCGCACTATGTAACTTTTCTGTTGGACATTTCGCTTATCTCTATGGAAATAATATTGCTTTGCCTGGAATGTTCCATAGTATGGCATGAACTCCTTGCACTTAATCAATTTCAAGTGTTATGGTTCTTACAGTAAACAGGGACACCTCCACAGATCCGACCTGTGACTCTAAAGGTCTAATTGGGTCACCTGCTTGTACGTCTCCATGGAGACAAGCACGCTGACACACTCTTCTTCAGAAAAGTTACATGGAGCTTTAAAATGCATCCAGCTGTCTGTATGTTGGCATAATGAAATTTTAGAATATGCACAACTGCTTTTTTTTATGTTGATGTCAAATAATACTGAGACAATCTTCCATTCTTTCAAATTTAGGTTTGTAATTCTGAAAAACTCAAAGTAATTCAGTTAATGCAGATGAATTAATATATTTATTCTAGTTTGTCAAGAGGTAAATGCCATAATTATTCCCCATGAATGACTTTTCTTGTATTAAAACACCAAAGGAATAAAATGCTATGAAAATATCGACGAACCTGCATGTTAGGTACGAAGGGGGCCATTTAGATTTTTGTGGCAGTCGTCGTCTTGGGTGAAAAACAAATTACATTACAGCTGTTTCACAAAAATAACTGTAGAGTCTGGAATCTTTCTCAGACCACTCCTCATGTGGATGAGCCCTTCACAAACTAAAGCAGATGGACCAAAAGCCTGTATTTAACACAAAGAAAACCATAAGAGGTACTTTATCCCGTGAATGTTTTGTAAAAAAAAAAAATCATAATCTTCGGTCAGTCTTGTTTTTGTTTGGCGTCGAGTCAGAGTAAATGCGATATAACTGGTCATTTTGTTTTTTGGGGAGATGAAAAAGCTAGTTTAAGTTTAGATCATAATTCCTGGTCAGCATCTCTAGTGCCAAACAACTGAAAATGTCTGACTTATGTTATGGAGAAAAAACAAATGTATCAGTTATTTTTTGTCTCTGTTAATACAATATTCAGCAAAGATTTTGAGCAGGTTTGATAAACTAGTAAGTCAAAATGCCCACCAAAACACGGTTACAACGGTGTTTCTGATAGTCTAAAACTGAACTCCTTGTGGTTGGAGTTGGTTTTCTTTTTGTGCAAAAGTACAGAATTTACTTTGAAAATACAGTTGAAGTTCAAATTAGTTGTCTTTCTGAAAAAAAATTCTCATGTGACCAATTAATCTGAATTTGAATGTAATTTTTAAAGAATTTGAATTTATGTTTTTCATTTTCAGTTTTCCCCCACACATCTTTACCTGCTCAAGACATTTGCTGAGTTTTGTAGCTTGTCAAAATCTACTCGTTTCTTCAATATTTTAAACGCTCAACCCAAATGACCAAGGTTATTTTTAGCCATAGCAACGAGTTAAATATTTAAGCATAGAAACTGATCATTTATATATGAATTATATTGAAAGATGAAATGTATACATGTCTAGTTTATAAATCTTTCTTTTCTATGCATTAACAGCTCCCGTTTTATTCCCCCAAACTTTCATTCTGTTTGTTATTTTCAATGTCATGAATTTCTGTGTAAGTTACGAGTTAGTGGGTGTTTTTTATCATTTAAATGTATTTTTTTTCTTGTCATTACTCATGTTGTGGTCAATATTTAACTTTTTCCATTACAAAACCATTAACTTACACAACACTGGCCACATCTGTTTGTTTCCCATAGCGTTTTAAAAGGAGTAATAACAATAATAAAACAGCCATAACATTATGACCAACTGACAGGTTAAAGGTCTTGTGGAGGCATAATTGCTTTGTCTGTAATTTTCCACAGTATAGCATTAAATGTATTACCTTGTATAAATATCATTGTTGAGCTACAGGTTGGTGGTGTGATTCCAGCTCCCACAGATGAACCGTTGTTGTGTCCTTGGGCTTTTCCCCCGGTGTGTGAATGTGTTTCCTTCATGTAAAGCGCTTCATAAAAATGTGACCTTTTACCATTTTAGTTCAGTTTATTAATACAGTGGAACATTTCAGATAATGCAATAACATCTCCACGGAGACGAGAAAGTTACGGACCCTCCACCGTCCACAAAAGCTATACAGCACACCTTTCAGTAAATGACAGGTTATGGCTTCAACATGGATTAGGATTTATTAGACAGAAAGTGCAGGAACATTTAAAAATAATAATATAGTGTTCATATTTCAGTTTATTTATTTTTCGAATTATATAATATTAATATATCAAAAACTGAAATTAACGTTTGCTACTGGTTCATAGCGTCTCCAAAACTGCTATTGTGGAATTTTCCCTCTCTGAAGTATTCAAATAACAAAATAACATTACATTATAACCATTTAATATTACAAAGGTGGTCATACTATTACGCCTGATTTGTGTTTACATTATAGAAGAATCAGGATCTGTTTATTCAAAATTTAAAAAAATAAAAAATTCGTCCTCTTATCTACCTTTAATATCACCTCACCCAACTTAACCAGTTATTTTTCTTACATTTTTAATTGTAATTTTTAATCTAAGTGGCAGTGTACACGCTAGCTGCCCTATATATTAAAAATAGCCAGTCGTCACCCTAGAAACTGGTGTAAACATTTCAGAATAAGACTCACGTTGGTTGTTTGTTGCACAGTATGGGTCTGTCTTATGTTGTAGTATTACTCTTTATGCTGCTGCTTTCACTGCACAATTCTGGGAGAAAAGTCAAAATGTACAAATGTTTTATCTCCGTGTCTTTCTGATCACCTAGTTGTTTCACAATTGGGTCTATTCTTCTTAAGACTGTCTCATGCAATATTATTATTATTAGAGTATAATTTAATAAAAAAAAAATTGGATGTCTGGAAATATATATGTATCTTATCATTGCAATAAAAATATACAAAGCACAGGTGAGTGGTTGTTTTTTTTTTTGTCTGTGGAAATGGTCTTTATTCAATGAGATAATGTCTAGTTATTAAAATACAAATTAGTGATTCCTAAACTGTCAAAGGTAGCACTGCAGACAATGTTTGGCTTTTGGAATGAATTTAACTTGCAAAAACAAATCCCTATAAAATAATACTTAATACTGTATGGATAAACCCAATGAAGTTGCATGGATTTATAAAGTAACTTTCATATTTGATACTGCTAAAGAATATATTTGAAAGATGAGCTTTTTTTAAAATTGGGTTTCTGCAAATTAAATCTTTTAATTGTCATCTTGACCCAACCTGGATTGAATCAGAAGTAGAGACCAAAACCAAGGACTAAATCGTGTGTGTGTATGACCTAAAACAAACAATTTTTTAAGAAACTATTGAATTCAACTAGTACTACTTGCACAACAGTTTAAGAACCACGGGACAAGATTATTTAAAAAAAAACAAAACTATTTCACATTTTACTGAAAGTGCTGATGATCACCTTTTCACTACAACTAAAAAGACAATCTTTGGTTAAAGCAAGAACACATAAAACGGTTACATAATTTGAAAATACATTAATAAATACAATAACACACCATTGCCATAGTATGCACATGTACATAGTCACATTTTTAGGTTCAGAATAAAAACATCTACTCATTTAAAATCTTAAGACATTTCAAGAGTAGATTTACAAAGTTGCAGCAAGTTGCAGATTAATAATAGTGAAATGTGAGGACTTTCAGATTTTACTGATGTTAATTTAACGTTATATGCACTAGTAATGTCCTTTAGTGTTTTATAGTGCAAAACGTGAATTGTTTACCTGGACACAGACAACTCAAACCTAAATAACACAATATAAATAAAACCACGAAAAAACAAATCAAATGTTAAACTTGGAACTTTCCGATACCAACAGCTGCACAGTGTTGCTTTCAATTGTCTAGAAATGGATTCACCATTATTGCTGAGGAAGAATATTTGAAAAGTACTTTATAGTTCTCAGTAACAGAGAAATCTATTAAGTTTAATTTAAGGTGCAACATGCTTTTAGGGACTTCCATAAGCAAACTGATTCAAAGATGCAATCTGTAACTTTTCCAATTGTGGTCAGTCACCTGGTTGTCTCCATGGTGATGTTAACTAGTTGGTGTATTTAATGTCACACTGTGGAGGTAAAGCCATAACATCTCCATGGAGACCAGGAGTTAGCATAGACTCCCTCCAGAAAAGTTATGTAGTCTAGCTTTATGCCTCTATTGTGGAGGCTATTTATTTATTTGTACTGTAGCAGTACCACTGTACGGTCCCATATATTTAAATACAACTTTTTCAGTGTTCAGTGTTGAAGTCAGATTTTGAAGGTGCAACATGCTTTTAGGGACACTGTGCCCTCCATAAGCCAGTTGAGTGAATATGTATCAGGCCAGTTTAATGTATCTTTATTGTAGCATTACCAGATTACTGTCCCACAGGTTTAAAAATGAGTGGACTTTTTCAGTTTTCGGTGTCAGAGGAGTCTGAGATGTCAGTGAGTCTTGCCTGTCTCTTCCTCACGTTCCAGTGCAGACACTGGGCCAGACTCTCAAACCAGTCATACACCAGGTCATAGCAGCAGATAGAGGGCACTGGGTAACAGGAGGTCGTGATCTTTATACTGGACAAACAAAGAGAAATGATAAGGTTAAAGACTCTAACATATTCTAACATATGTGTGTTAAATAATTACCAGTCTCCGTGCTGGATCTCTTGCCTCTTCCGTCCATCAAATGAAACCCAGGCTGTGTTTCTGGCATCAGGAGACAAGGTGATCTGTTTTGGACAAGAAAATATTAAATTTATGTCGAATTAAATTCAGTTCTGCAATTTGGATCTGATGGTTGCTGCTGGTGTTTCAAAACCCAATCTCTTCCGTTATGTCACAGGCCAAGCCACTCCTTGGAGGAGTGCTGCTTTGCTGCCTGCTCTGGGGCTGCCTCACCACTTTGTGCAGGTCAGGTCACCTCACCCTAACCCTCACCCGCTGTTCCGCCTACATCATCATGAGCCCCTAGGCACATACAATAGGAATAGTGATGAACTGGTAAGACAGTTTTGCCCCCCTCACCATGAGTTCGACCCCAGCGGGCACCACAATGGGCCTGAAGGAGAGGGAGTGTGGGCAGATGGGCGTGACCATGATGGCCGGGACATTTGGGTGGATCATGGAGGCTCCAGCTGCTGCAGCGTACGCTGTGCTCCCTGTGGGCGTGGACACGATCAGGCCTGAGGAAGACAACAGAAACACACACAAGAATTAGAACCCCCAAGGAAGGTTAAAGGGGCACTATGTAACTTTTCTGATGGAGGCTTTTTAACCTGCTCCTCTCAGTGCACAAGATAGAATAAACAGCACATTCCAGTGCAGACAGGCTAAATTTAAGCATCTTCATGCAGATGGTGGACCCCTCACTACAAGAGCGACATAGTGCACCTTTAAATGAGTGTGTGTTCAGATGACTAAATAACGCTGTATAATCCTAGTCTTTAAAAGGGATAGAAACAGTAGGGAGCAAGAACATTTTAGTTATTTTTATACTGAAATCATGGTGTACTTGGATGAGATGTTGTTGTTGTTGTTATTAATAATAACAATAATGCATTTTATTTAAAAGAGCCTTTCTGGGCACTCATTGACACCATACTAACAACAATTATTAAAACACAATAAAAGCAATTCAACTAATGGATAATTGTGATGAAAAACACATGTACCATCTCCCTGCACAGAGGTGATGAGCCGTCCATCTAAGTACAGGTCCACATTGGAGAGGTACGAGGAGGGGCCCCGGTCCACTACCACCTCATTCAACACCTGGACACAAGCACAAGAAACATATGCATATAAAGTACTCTAAATTAGGCACATAACAGAGAGCTGAAATCCATTGATTAACTTTGTAACTGTGTAAATGGACTGTTAAGAGATCAGATGGGGCTTTATTTATCCCAAAGAAAATGTTTGTTTCAGGGGAGTGGTTAGACAGAGACATTAAAAGACATTATATAAACATTGAAATAGTGTTGCAGCAGTTTTTTTTTTTTAAGAAAGGCGTTCGCTTTTGTTAAAATAAATGTCCACATGAGGGCAGTATCCGCTTGAAATTTCAAACTTTTTTTTTCCCCCAAGAACAGAATGTACTTTTGACAAATTGAGTTTGTGGACACTGTGAGCACAGAAATGTCAAAGCTTGAGGTTAAACATCATGACGCAAAGGACTGTCAGAATTATGATGTACCGGTATTATGTTTTAACCATGTTTCTCTGTAAACTGATTCATTTTATGTCACATCCCACATTTCTTGAGTAGGACCTGTATACCATATGTATAAAACAAAACTATTTCTTATGATGACCAAATATCATAGAGATACTATAGAACTATATCAGTCTTTCCACAGTGATCACAGCATCTTTTAAGTTCACACAATGTAAATGTTGAGTATTTGTTTAACTCCACAGTTCCGGCTTTATCCATGATCCATTATGTGCTTTTAAATGGGTCAATGCATTTTTGTGATAAGCAAAGAGAAAGTAAATAAACATATTTTATTGCATTCAAAGTCCATTTTTATTGTTTGTCACGTTTTACAGTGAGTGCAAGTCTTACATACTGATTTCTCTCTTGCTCCTAGACTCTTTCTCTTCCTCTCTCACCCCCTCTCCCATTCTCCCTCTCTTTGTCTCTCTCACCCTCTGTCCATCTGTCCCCCTCTTGCTCTTTCTCACTCTGACAGTCCATCCCTCCATCTTTCTTTCTCCCCTCTCTATAACTCTCTTGCTCTCTCCCTCCCTGAGACTCCTTCTCTCTCTACCCTCTTTCTTTCATTCTCCTGTTTTCCTTCTTTCCACCTTGCTCTCTCTTTCCCTGCCTCTCCCATCGTCTCTCTCTTTCTCTCCCACTCTCAAGCTCTCTCCCTCCATCCATCCATCCCTCTCCCTCCCTCGCTCTATCCTTTCTTTCACCATTTTCCTTCTTTCCACCCCCCCTTCCAAATTTCTCTCTCTCCCACGCCTCTCACCGTCTCCATCCCTCTCCCCCTCTCTCCTTCTCCCCGGTGCCTCCTCCGTTTACGCACACTGCAGCGCTGAGTTCTCGGACCACTGCACTGACGTGAACACCCCGCGGCGGGAACGGGGTGATGTCATTCGTGGGGTCACCCTTCGGTAACGACACAGTAAGAGGAACAGTCAGATTCTGTATTACACCAACAGAGGAGCCCTTAAAGTGCAAATGACAGGGTTTCATGGTTTTCTAATTATTTGGTTTGGTGGGAAAGGACCTGTGGTAAATACTTTGCATAGTTACATCGGTGAAGTGGAAGATTGTGGGAAGAAAAGTACAAAAATACAGGCCGTACAAATTCTATACAAAATGCAAGGACACTTTATGCAAAAAAAAAAACAAAAAACAGTCAAAGGTTAAATTGGTCTTCCAATAATTTATGTTATTAGGTTCATTTGTTCTTTTTTTAGACCAAGAGTTTGTTTGGTCTGGCTCTTTGTCTGAAAAAAGAACCTAATAACAAATTCTTCTGACAAATTAAACACTGAATTGAGGCATTGTCATCCAGTTTTATTAATCTAATAATAACTACAGTATTGTGTAATCTAGACAAGTTTTGGTCTTTGTTATGGTTGCAAGGTAACAGCCTGAGAATTACCTCTACAAGTAATCTGCCACATCTGCTGCTCATGTCCAACCAAAAACTAAAATGCTTAACTTCACCAAAAAAAACAAAAAACAAAAAAAAAACTACTAATACTGAATAATAATGATAATAATAATAATAATAATGATTTTGACAACGGTTTAGTGGAATGAGTAGTCTAACCTGTCAAAGGCGCATTAATATTACAAACTGCCGTCTCCGTTCACTGCGTGCTTGGTTGAAGCGTCAGACAAAACTAAGGATCTGACGCACGGTTTCCCCGGTAACAGGCTCCACAAAACTTCAACAGCTCTGACTTTGTTTCTCCTTAAGACCATTTTAGTCCTTGGACCAGGGTTAAAAATGAATTTGAAGAGTATCTTGAAAAGCCAAATATGCCAAAAGGGAAACTTGAGAGAATTTGAGCACAAACGTCGTAGCTTGTGTTTGCCTTTATTATTAAATGTTACAGATAAGAGGTAAATGGGAACTGGTAACACTTCATATAAACTACACCTTAATTAGCATTAATAAAGCATTATTTAGTTCATAATGGAAAAATAGAATAATTCAAACTACTGAATAACTACTTCATTAAGGAGTTAGGGTCTTTCTTTATTATGGGTAATTAAGGCAAAGTGTTAGAGATATTTTGTCCAGGCAAATAAATAATTAACATTAAAGGACCTATATTATGCTATTTTCTGATCTATGTTATAAAGTTGTTTCCTCATCAAAATCATACCTGGAGTTGTGTTGGGGTTTTTCACACATGTTTAACACATAAACACTGCATATTTAGGCTGAGTTCTTCTCTCTGTTCCATCGTGTGCATGTGGTAATACAGGAAGTGCTCCACTTTATTATTAAACTCCACACACCATCACTGGAATCATTTGCATGATTTCAGACCTCAAATCGCCAGTCTTTACTGAACTAAAGGTAAAAATGTACCAGTTAATTTTAAAACTATGACTACATGACATTACAAGGTGGAACAGAGCATTTTTGCGCAGCTTTGGACCTGTGAATGATTAATAATAAAGCATTACTTAAACATGCATAAATGATACAAAATAACTCTGAGTATGTTTTTGATGAGGTAACAACATTATAATGTGGCTTAAAGCTCAAAAAGTCAAGTTGTATAATATAGGACCTTTAACAAGCACAAGCATAGAATTATTATTTACTGATTTATATTTGTTAGAATCTTTCCACTGTCTTTCCTGTTACAAATTTATCATCCAGTTGTTTTTCCTGTTTCACTTGCCATTACAATTAATGTTTATCAATGATTATAGGCAGTCAACTAACCTGAAGGAAGACAAAAATGTAAATTAAACATACCTTTTTAAAAATCCCCCATGGATTTTAATAAAGTTTGCTTTAGTTTCGTTGCTTTTGAGCAACCAGATTGTAGATTTTGGATGTTAAACCAAATGTCCTTCAGGCACAATATCATTAGTTCATACTCTTACATAAACTGCTCAAACAATTGCAAACCAAATCTGTTCATCTCAACGTCTGGAAACCATTGTCTAATCTGAAAAATCCGACCCTCCTTCAGGTCCATGAACGCAGCAGTTTTATTATGACTGTCTCCATGGCAACGGGCTGATGTTCATTGTACACAGTTATAAACACACCTGGGACTGAACCGGAGCAGAGCCGCGAGACACGATCCAGGAGCAGTACGTCACCATGACAGAGGAGCAGATGCACTGCTCATTCCCAACAGCCTCCTGTTTCCAGTGACATCTGGAGGAGCTTTAGGTGCAATTAAATCCATCCAAATGCATTCTGAACTCTTGGTCCGTTTTACAAAGCAACAATAAAAAACAATAGTAAATGTTCATAATTTTGAAAGACAGGAATACAAGTGACACTACAGCTGAGACAGTAATCAAAATGAACTGTTGGCTGGTGGTGTTTTGCTTTACAATTTAGTGCATTATTCATTAACTTCATTTTTGAGGTGATAAGCTACTACTGCAGCCACAGTTGCCTTGAGGAAGACTGAATAAAGCGAAGCTGCCAATTTCTGTCATCAATGGCCCCTCTGACCACCAGCACTCACTCACACACTACATTCATACTAGGCCAAGTGGGTGCAGTGTCTTGCCTGAAGAAACAAAGCCAGCAATGCCACTAGTGCACCACTGTGGAACCTGGGATTCCCAGGGCTCTCCCATCCAAATACTAAACAGGCCAAATTCAGCTTCCGTCCAAGATCAGCCAGGAAGAGGTCATAAAAGTACTTTAATACATGATACCACATCTCCTAATAGTCGATCATTGTGCAGGGCATACAAAGCTCAATGGTTAGATGTGCTGACTTTCATTTTGTAAAACAACATATAGAGTATAAAATGCACTGCAGCACTCATTGCTAACCCGTCTGTATCTTTTCAAACCTACTTTTTTTTATAGTTAAAGATGGGTGGGCGGCATGGGGCACAAATATGCTTTAAAGATAAACCACTCCGGATTCTGAGGTAAACTAAGTACACACCAAACACCATGACTATTGCTTCATCACATATACAGAGGAAACCAACTAATTAGTTCCAAATGCGTGTAACCAAGATGGTGCAAAAGTCTGCATTCACCGTCTACTCTGGAATATGAGCCAGCCTTAGTCTGACCCGAGTGTTAGCTGTACACAGATGTTTTAGCTAAATGGCTCAAACCAGGTGTGCATCGCATTCTGACAATTCATATAAAAGTTCAGGGACTCGTCACAGCTGCAGTGAGTGCGTCAACAACTGTAACGCTATGAGGCAACTACAGAACAACAGACACTGAGTGCATCATGGTCATTCATCAACCCCCTTTCATTACTGTATTGTCTTGGATTATCAGTTGTGCTATTTGTTTGTTCTGGGATTGAACCACAAGCCTTCTGATAATATGACAACTGCTCTACCACCAAAACCACTGTGAATAAGTAAATAGCAGATGAGCAGCTAAAATGTCCCCTCTCTGGGATTAATTAACAAGGATTTCATGGCTCATTTAAACCACATCACTTATGCAAATAGATCCGTCCATAAGCAAACATGTGGCCATTACAGTCTTTGGTGCACAGAGTCGCCCATTCAGGTTCATCAGGTTATGTCAGGTACAACCATGGGTTTTACCAAGAATCTAAAGCCCCATTCACACATACAGTACTTCCCAGTAAATTGCTGGGTAGAAAATCATTAAAACCCTCATTCCCATTCAGCTATGCACCAATCTTAGAACATTACCGAGTCTACTCTGTACTCTCTCAGATAGCAACGCGCTGCTGCATCATTTTAATTGATTGAGAATAGCGTGTAATCACACAGCATTGCCAAACTCATAACAATGAAACCAGTTCGTAACCAGAAAAAACAAGCTTGTAAGTAGGACTAAGCAAAAAAACAATAAATCTCATTTGAACTTCAAAGCGATTTGTTTGGTAGAAAATACATTTTTTATTTTTCCTACTTTCTTGCATTAAATATGGCATTAAAAATGCAAGAAAGGCTGCTCACTGCAGTCACAGGGATTAAAGTTTAGCACAGGGACACAAAGCAAATACTGCTTTGAAATCAGTTATGTCAATTAAATGTTGGGGCTGCATGTTTAATGCAGTAGTTTATTTTATGTAATTCGTAAAAGATTTCCTCAGTGGCTAGAGGATAAAATACGATAGCTGAAAACAATCCCTTCAGTTTTGAGAATTTTCTGCAGAAAAAAATTGACAATTTTATTTTCAGGCAAAATCGCCCAAAGGTACTTGTAACTGAGGAAACATAGCGCTGGTATTGGCAATTTTAAGACTTTATTCACACACAAGCCTTTCTGTTCTGGCTTCGTTCACACAAAAATGGCAAAATGCAGGTAAATTCCTAGGTCAGGATGCATGTGTGAACAGGACTTTACATAATGCCTCTTTAATATTGCCTCACCTGTAGCTGCAGAGACACCTTTCCTGCCTCAGAGCTGGTGTGTCTTTGGGACAGAAGCCCGTTGTGGGACTGTGAGGATTGGTCTCGTCCTGTCCTCTGCAGCATGTCCTTCACTACTTTCACCTTCAAACGACTGCGCAGAGTGATGGCAGCATTTCCTACATTTAAATCACACATAAATGGTCAAAGTAGTGTCTAAACTATATGCATTAGAGAATTTACTTGATAGAATTTCATTTACCTTCGAAGACTTTGGCAACTTCTGTTTTGTAGGATTCAAACTTGAAAGGTGTGAGGAAACCCAAGGAGCCCAGATGGAACGCCATAACAGGAGGAACACTGCCCTGAAAAGAACAAGCAACCAGAGTTATAGAAAATTATTTCCTTGTTAATCCTGTTCATTCTAACTAATATCTAATTAAATTAAATAAATTTATTTTAGTAGAAAATAGGACTGGATTCTTTCTTTTTCTTTTTGATTATGATTTTTTTAAATTTTTGTCTTATTAAAACAAATAAAACTCTTTCAGTGTTTATTTATTTTCTGAATATACAATATTTTTGGCATTTAACACAAAAAAATTGTCAAATTTCTTTCCCCAAAGTCTGAACTTGGCTCCAAACCACACATTTTTACTGACAGAGGATTAAGGCCACCACACACTACAAGAGAATTTGAAAGATTTAGGCTGCATTTTGCTTCTCCCTGAGGTCGGGGAGGTGTGAACCGACTTTGTGTATTTGTATGCGATTTTGAAGCCACCGTGCTCCTCATGTGTTTGGTCTCAGTGTGACTCTAAGCTACTCTGTCAGATCATAACCACCAAAAATCAGCATCGCTATGATAAATGCCAATAAAATAGAGCGTCAGGCTGACAGAGTGACTGACAAAGAGGAGCAAGATACAAACTCAGTAAATGGTGTAAATTATTATTACTCACCTCTCATAAAGTTGTTAATTTAAACTCCAGCATCTCATCTGCATTATCCACAGAATTTGTCCTCCACAAATAATGACACCCAGTGTTAATCAAGTTTGAAGCACTCTTTAAAAATAAACAGGCCAGACTAGTTTCTCACGTGTGTCTGTTTACTGTACATCCAAGCAGTGCACGGACCAGGCTGAAGCGGCAGATTAGTGATAGTGATTTTACTTCCTGTGTACTCTAGACAGGAAACAGCATTGTTTAAGACCAAGAAGTCCTGTAGTGCGTGGTGGTCTTTAGCTGTAGATCAATTAAAAAGACCTAAACTGACCATTTATTAATAGAAATTACTGAATCTCAGTTTCAGTAATTGCACAACCCTAGTTGAAAAGCACAATGAATGTCAACACTGAAGCATTTGTGTGATATAAATATACCCAGTGGGTAAATAAGAAAAGTAATCTTAAATATTGAATTATTATTTTACCTGGAATAGGGAGGAGGCGTAGAGCAGCGTCCCATCTCCTCCCAGACAAATGATCAGGTCAATGCAGTCAGAGATGTCATCATAACCTACAATCATCAGACATAGAACTTTCAAAATAAGATGATACTAATTACCGAAAAAAAAAAAAGTCTTGTACGTAATCTTTGGCAACATAAATAAAGTCTAAAAAACACTTAATAATATATATCCACATTTTCAAGGATTTATTGTTTGATTATGCTTCTGATTAAAAAAAAAACATGAATGTATATCTTGTACAGCCTCACCCTCTCTGAAAGTGCACAGCTGATTTCGTATCGACCCAAAAGTCTCATCATTTGCAAGTGTAGCATCATCCGCCACTCTGCGCTCCACGTACACCATCATCTGCTTCTCCTGAAAAGCACATCAGCAATAATAACAAACAAAAAAACAAGTAAATTAGTTCCTATACAGTGTAACAGGCTTATTCACGATCAGTTAAATCAGTATTGTTTTTTTTCTCCATATGATCTGGTTTAAGCTCTTGTTCATAACTAAAATTTTCAGCGATAGTAAGGAAAAAAAAAAAAAAAAAGATTCCTGATGCCAAGCATTTAGAATAACTGCTCTACTTTGTGAGTGTTGTTAGACAAAACACAGCCGAGAATAAAATACATGGTCAAAGGACGACATAAGTGAAAACAGATTTAACTTTGGCCTAAATGTCTGCACCACTTCCTCAACTGTTTGTGTTAGATTTGATGTTCACTCCTTCAAACTTTATGGACAATCTGTTCTGAGGCACGTCTCCTCCAGACAAAACAAAGCACTGATTATTACCAGACGGGATAAGACTGATAAAAGAAAGTGTATGACGTTACTTCATCAAATAAATATTAACACATGGGTGGTAAGACAAAAAATATATAAATTTTTTTCCCTGCTATTTAGCAATCACAATTTTCAATTAGAAATATTAAAAACGTAATTAACATTTGTAGATAACATTTGAATGAATTAATTAGCTAGTTAGCATAATATTGCTGGAAATCAGCACTAGGTTAGGGGTGATGAAAATATCTATTAAATAAAAAAATTAAAAAATATTTCTTTTTGCTCTTCTTTCTTTCAGCAGAAAACTACATTTGTGTTGATCAATTAGAGAGATATTACTCCCTCACACATTTAAATAAATAACCTAATTACTGTATTTAATATTGGAGGGTGCGGTTTTACCTCCACGAGAAACCTGCAGAGCTCCTTGAATGGCTCGACAAGACTATCATCTCGGATTTTTCGGATCACTAGGACATTCACCGGAGGCTTATTCCATGTGAGCCTCTGACTGGCCGGGTCCTGGATGTGCCTGCAACACACAGTTAGATTAATAAAAACAAAATACAATATCTAAAATAGATGAGCATAAAGGATACAACAAACCAGTGTATCTTCATGTAAGACTGTTAACTGAGACTTAATTACAAAGATTTTGAAGTTTCTAGAAGCTAAAATTCCTCTTCTGGTCAAATCTACAATCTGTGCTTGCAGCCGCTGTCATTGATTAACCGTGCGAGGGACAAACTCCAAACTTTACATATGAGTTGTATAATTAGGAGATGAAATAAATGTTTGGGTACAGATAGATTTTGCATTGGCTGGAGAAAACCTTGGATGAGAGTAGTAATAAAAAAAGGGATCTCAGAGTCAAAACATGCCATGTGAAAAAATGGGATAATGATCCATTTTAAAGGCCGCTGTATAATTCATTTACCACGGATCAACTTTCCACTGTTTCTGTTAAACTGTTCATTTATAATGGTTTTACAACTAGTGATATCTAAACTGTTTAAATTGATGAATAAACTGTTGTGAACTGAGACAGACAAATGTTATGCTACTTTACTAATTTCATCATCTCTCTTTGAGTCTATAAAATTAACATAGCCTAGAGTTGCCCAATAACAGATACATCAATTAAAGGTTTTTAGAATGATGAAAAATTAGGGCCGTTGCTATAGTGATGATCAATTTAACAAATATTATATTTCTGAATTATGAAAAGTCCTCAAAATATTATAAGAGGAAGCTGATATTCATTAATAGTTAAAAGTTAACTTGTAATGTAATTTTTATAAATATTTTTTTATATTTATGTCATAAAACCTGAAAATCTCAGCTGCCAACCTCTGTCTGACAATAATATCACTATAAAACAATATAAAGTCAAATGGCAAAAAACCCATATGCTTACATGATTGAAGTTGGATTGGGAAGTATACACGCTTTGGGTCCGAAGTGAGTGGCTGGATATGGTCCATGAAGGAAGTGTGCTCTCCTGTAAGGACAGAAACAGAGTCAGTTTATGTCCATGGCAGCAGAGCTAGTGGCATTGCTGTGACCAGCTGGCGACCCGCAGTGCAAACCTCTTAGGAGAACTTTCCGCTGCGTCGCTCCCAGATCCACAGGCCTTCAAGTGCTCGTGTTGTCCCGGTAACCTGCGGCCCTCCCGGAGCAGCTGCTGGTGACCGCCCCCCTGTCGCTGCGGCCTCTTCCCCTCGCGACGTCGCCTTGGAGACCGGGCCGCGCCATCTCTGAGCGCGGGGCACCGGTCCAAGTCCAACACGGGACCAGAGGGACCAGGGGGCTGTGTCATTCCACTGTCTGCAGGGGCCAGTGATGAGGGGGATGGACTGCTGTCTGTAACCTCCATACTGCGGGAATAAAAAAGATATTATAGAGAATTAACAACAAGTAGAGAACTCTGTTGGATGTGGCCCATGTCCTAATTTAGTCTTTATTTAGCTCTTCTTGAATCTTGAGTAATGAAGTGTTTGTGGCTGCTAAAAGAAAATCTGTATAAGTAGTAAACCTTATAACTCTAATGGCTAAACGTTTGTGGTTAAAATCTAACTTAAATAATGATGATGAGAGAACTTATAATCAAATGTAAAATATGCATTAGAAAGCCTAAAGAATTGACCAAGTGAAACAGGAATAACAATAGGACCATTTAGCTTAGCTTTAGGGTTTATAGTTAATTTATGTTAGTAAAAGGAGGGCTGTAGAAATAAAGCATGTAAACACATCATCCCAAGCTGCCTGACAGAAAAGCAATGAGTTATTCATTAGTAAAAAGCTCCTCTTCTCGTCTATCATTAACAACCATAAAATCCGCTCATTTGTTGACAGCTAGCGTTACCTAGCAATAGCTTAGCATTAGTAACAGGACCAAAAAACACCCAAAGATATTGAAATTTTTACTGTCACTGTATGAGAAAGACACAAGTATATCCGTGCGTTAAAGCTCTACCAACCCTTTAAAAGTCACGCTTTACGGTCAGACTTTGTGGCTGAAAATTCGTAACAGAAACATGACCAGAGACCGGAGGAGTGGACACTTCCGGCATAAACGTGTATACGTCACCATTTACGTAGAAAACAGCGCCAAATTTTCCCCTACCGGTCACACGTGGATCTGACGGAGGAAAAGGTGCATTATTATCACTTTATAATAATTTCTTATCTCAAGTCTATCCATTGCAGTCTGTTAGGTTTATTTAACGATTAGTTTCTAGTCGTAAATATATATATATATATATATATATATATATATATATATATATATATATATATATATATATATATATATATATATATATATATATATATATATATACAAAATTTTTTACAAATTTTGCATTTTCGTGTATGTTCTGAAAGAGTCTCTTTTTTACAATACAGTTTGTTGCCCCAAGTCAGACCCAGCCCAGGTGGACCATATCGCCTCAGGTCGAACTGTGATCATGTTTGGAATGGTTTGGAATGGTAATAACCCACAAACTGAAGTGAGGACGTTTCCGTTGACTAAACAAGAAATAAGACAGAGGTAAGTTACACTTTCATTTTGCAGTGTCACCTTATGAGAGATTGTCCAGTTTTAGGCCTATTCTGTGCCGTGGTAAGTAGGCTATGGTATGCAAAGTTATTAGGGATTTTTCTCCAGTGAACAAGCTGGTGTTCAGTCTTAAACTCCTCTTTCCAGCTCTTCTCAGAATTTACTAATCATTTGGATCACTATACTTTTTCTTCTTAAGATGGTAATACTGTATTAATTAGTCATATTCATTTTACGTAGCTTATGGCAAAACTTCTACTTCAGTAATATTTTTACTTATCCACCTTTTTAAACAATTAGCCAAAAAAATATATATTATTTTAACGGTAGCCTACTTTTTGGTGAAGAGTCCGCCACCTGCTAGTCTATGTTATTCCTTTGCCTGGAATGTTTCCCAGAACGTGGGAATGTTTCATAAATTTTATTTAAGGTGTGTTAATTGCTAAACATACCCTGAAAAAGGCATCTTTATCTATCACTTCTTCTCAGACTGTGGACTTAACTGGTGGTGTCACCTGCTTGTGTCTTTTGGTAATAGATGTTAAAGGCCATACTGTGAGACATTTTGGGGAAATCAATAGCATGGACCCGTAATCATAAAATTTACATAATCTTGAGTTTTGATCACTAACTGCATATGCTCTTAAAGAAATATAAGTAAGAAGTGTACTGGTTGTGTAGTCTATATGTCACAGCCACTCTTGACATGTCCATTTGTTTGAGGGCTTTAAGGTTTGATTTGCATGTAAATGATTGACAAATTTCATTGTTCAGGTCTGGGCTTCACTTCCTTTGTGTAAACCACGCCTTTAAACAAAGTCAGTTGGAGGATATAAACCACACTGCTTATTTCACCGCAAGATCAACCAAAACATCACCTCTTTAATGTTGTTCACGCACAGGTAAGATAGATTCATTTGAAAATGAGTTAAGCAGGGAGAGGGTAGCTAAAAATAATACCCTACTTGGATATTCTGACTTAAACCAATCGAAAAACGTTAATTTGGTCTTCTTTTATACGTTAGAAAGTAGGGTTTTTACAATAGAGTAGGAGATGTATTTACTGAAGCGTATAACTGCCTGGGACACTTCTGAAGATGACTTGTAGTTCGTATACTTGGTGGAAATACCTTATTGACATGTACTTGATAACAGTTTGAATAGTGTCTGAATTAGCAGCGAAAATGTAATGTCTGATTTTAATGAAACTACTGGCAAAATACAATTTACATTTTAAAAAAGAAATCTTTTATTCATCATCATGTCATGTAATTTGACAGAAGAATTTAAATAGTTATCTATGACAATTAATTTAGATCCAAATGTTTACAATAAATAGTAAATGTGTTAATGGATTTCTTTATGTACCTTTTTGTATTTCAGTACTAACAAAACGCTGTGCAGATTATAGATGTCAATAGATTATAGATTTCAACAAACACATTTGAAAAATACTCAAAGACAGCAGAGCATCAACCCCTAATTACCGAATCACCCATATGGAAATGTTAGACTGAACAGGGCTCCAAACACTATTAAACTAAACCAAGTAAACCAGGAATATAACAGGTCTAAAACAAGTCTAAACAAGTCTAAAACAGGTTTGAGTATGATTAATATCACTGTAATTATTAGGCCTGCCCACATACTTTAATGTGGGCAGGCCTAATAATTAAGTAAGTAAGTATTTAGGTGTTTGTAGATATTTTTCCAAAGTCACTTAAAAAATTTTAAAATAATGTCAAGTTTGTGGAGTTAGGTTCAACATTTGTGAATCATAAATTTGGATATTTCTTTTCAAAAAACAATTAATCCCATAAAATTGGCTCTTTAAGCCATGTTAGAATGCTGTTAAATACTCAAAAAACCCAAACTGTGTTTTGTTTCATTCATGCATGTTTGAGTAATCCTGGTATATCTCCAAAGCTGCTCTTTTCCACCTAGTGATGTTATAAATCCATAGTTTTCAAGTTAACAGCCACCTTTTACCAGTGGAGCACTTTCTGTATTACCACATGACATCAAAAGGTGGAACAGAGTGTTTCTGTTTGAGAAAAGCCTAAATATGCTGGTTTGTGTGTTCAGCATGTGTGAATGAAACAAAGCTCCAGGTATGTTTTTGTTGAAGAAACCACATTATAACATCATCATGATTACAAAATATTTTTATATATTATAACTGTGTTGTTACAGAAAAGTTAAATGTTGTTTCATTGATTTCCCAGATTCTCCAGCATGCCGGTCATCCTCGGGTAGGTCCCAAATGGACATGAGTATTCCCATCCCCTCCGTGCTCTTTGGACTGGGGGGGAAATGCGTCCTGAATTGGGCTCTGGTCTTCTTCCAAAAGAATCACATCTTGAGGAGTTTTCTTTGCATTTTTAGCCTCTCCGTGTCTGTTGTAGACACCATTTTAACTCTTTTTGTAACTGTCATACACCTACTTCAAGACTTCAGTGTCCTGAGCTGGAGACTGACCCAGTACCACGTGTGCTTGCTGGTTCAAGTCCTTGGATACATCTACAGCGCTCAGCATTTTTTCATCCTTGTTTTGACATTATTAGAAAATCTCTATGTAGTTTTGAGAAGATCGCAAAACGTCATGTGGACGCCAACGTGGATATTTCATTTATTTTTAACACTAATAGTTTGGCTTTGCTCTACGTTATATGTTTTCAAGGTTTCAAACATCTACCCTTTTTTGGAAGATGCAGCCCCTTTTCAAACTAATAATTGTTGGGTATCAAGTTCATCTGTCATATCTGAAGTTGCAACTTTTGTATTTTATTTACTTATTTGCTTCATAGTGTGGCATTCACTTAAACATGGCATACAACATAGTAAAAATCTAAACTCTCTCATAACTATTAAACCCCAGATTCTGACAAGGTTGAGCTTTATTTCCAAAGTTGTGTGGATATTTTTGGGCACGTGGTCACTTTTCCTAATATTCTTAGTCCTCCATGTAGTTTTGCTAGTGGAGATGCCATCGTACCTGGGTCTGAATTGCGCCTGGTTTTGCTTCATAAACAGTCTTTTAATAGCACTGGCGTTATGTATAGTTTATCCAAGCTCTGAGTTAGCGCAGGGCTTGGCAGCAGTTCCTCCTGATAGCTTCTGCAAGTGGAAGAGAAGGTTCAGATCCAGAACAGACATAGCATAACCAAACTAGAAAGAAAAAACATTTGGCAAGCAAATGTTTACTTGTCAGATGTTTACATATGTTTAAATAAAGGAAGTACTCCTGCATTTTAGTTTTCAACTGTGATACGTAGCTATAAGGGATATACAAATATATAGAAGGTCAATAATACTATATTTCTTAATGTATATTGATGTTTAAAGGTCCTATATTACACAAAATGTAAGCTTTAAGCCATGCTAGAATGTTGAAAATCAAAAATATACTATAAAAATGCAGGGTTTGATAAGAAAACAGCGAAATATAGCCCCTTAAATGGTTTTACTATCCTGCCTTGATAATACCTTTTCTAAATGAACCACACTGTAGAAAAACATGAGGTGCAATAATAGACATTTAGTTATTACTTGATGTACTTTTGCTCAAATGTTAACAGGCAATAAAACAAATTCCCCACTAGTACAGGTAAATTTTAAAGATTCATGCTGACCCTGGAATATTTCACAGTATGGCATTTAAAAGGGGGTAAAAATATATATAATGCCATACTGTGGAACATCACAGCAATAAGAATTATAAGGTGACCCTCCAGGAAAGTTATTGGTCAACATTTAATTTCAGTCATTTATTGAAAACTAAGTTGATACAGTGATTATTGTGACGGCATATACTATAGATAGAACAGCTCAAGAACCATTTAAGGCAGTTTTTTGTTGAATTAAAACTTTTCCATTCCTAATATTTCTACAATGCCTTAAAATATTTCAACTAAGCTAATTTTTGCACTGAGAAAACATTAAAACTTTGTTCCTGTTCCTGTTTTGTTTCATGGGGAAAGGCCCCTTCATTACAGGTATTAGTAGTCATGAGTCTGGCAAAAACACTAAAAAAAACAGGAAGACGTGCAGACTTTTATAGAGTCCAAATGCATTGAACTGCCTGTTGCATGTAGAAAGTTGCGGGAGGGCACATTTGCCACAGTTATATTAGCTTTGTCCTGGTCATCTAAAAATGTTCTTACATACTGTAGCTTTTTGGTTGCATTTTGGTACTTTGTCCACAACCATTTCATTTAATATATTTGTTATAATGTTACAGTTTTAATAATTTAATAATTGTTGTTTTCTATTTTTCAGAAAAATGTAATACTGAATAGAATAAACTACAATTTTCTAATAACTACACTATTAATGAATGAATGACTATTTAGTTACTAAGTCTGAATCATTCTTAATTAACTATTTGTTAATCATAATTTCTTTGTTTGTGGTTTATTGAGGATTATTAAGGTTATATAAAGTCATACCATTGTTAATAACATTTTAAGCTTTTGTTTTGTACCAATAAAGTTTCAGTCCAGAAAACATAACTTTTTTCTGATTATGCAAAGTGAAACAGCTATGACCTGGTTTGATCTTGGTTAGATGACTGTACAAGCCTGTACTTTTTCCTTCAACCTTATCATATAAAGATATAAAGATAAATACTCCAACCACAATTCAACATGGCCACTATAATGAATTTTTTAGTGGTAGTTTTTTCCCTCCAGACAGCAAAGTATTGTAACCATTTTGATGAAAGATCCAGCACTATTTTTTGAGACAACTGGTTAAAACAGATTATTTTAAACATCCTGTATTACAGAAAATTGACTCTTATGAGCTTTAAGCATTTGAGCCTTGTAGTGGTATTTTTCAAGTTATTTGAGATTTTTATGTTTATTAAGGACATCACAATCGCATCAGGCAAGCCAGATGTGTTGCTTTGAGCGTTTTAGCACAAGCATTAGTTTTCAACACTTGTCCATATAAAAAAATGTAAACTGCATAAAAACAGACAATACAAGACACATAATTTACATAGAGATAAAATAAATACAGTACATTTCCAATGAGTGCATTTTTGATTGGAAACATACAATAATTTTACTTTAAATTTGTTATTATTGGTTTCCTATTTTAAATCATCTGGTAAACAGTTCAACAGTCTGGCCCCTTTAGCAGAGAAAGAGACTGACCAAGAGTCGACCTGAACATAGGAACAACGCATTTACCACTAGTAACTCCTCTTGTGTTTGCTCTGTGTCTACATTTTACGGTCCTGGCAAATTCTGAATACAGTGGTGTATCACAGTTAAGACACTTACAAAGGAATTTAAGATTATTAAAATTGGTAACATTTTCAAAGTTAAAAAGGTTATATTTCTGGTGCCAGTGTCCGGGCTTTTTGTCAAGGACCTTAAGGGTCAGTTTGTAAAATGAACAGAGCAGTTTCAGTATGATTGAGGAAGCCTGCAACCATAAGGTGATACAATAAGATAAATGAGAGCAGATCATTGTGTTCATGAATAGTTTGGAAGTGTGGAGTGTTTGATCTTTACGCATGAAAGGAAAGCATTTGAGACTAGTTTTAATCTTTTAAGTATTTTGTGGGACAGATAAATTTTAGATTTTCATCCAGAATGAGGCCAAGGTGTTTAACTTCACTGACTGTTTGAATTTTCTCATTGTGGATAGTCACCTCAAAGTCAGTTTTAAAATGTTTACCTTTTACCTTTTGTTAAGTAGATGGGCAAATACAGGGCTGAAATTTTCCAAATGACTAGTGAGGGTGAGGATAGTTTCACTTAAGTTCAGATTCTGAACATTCTTCTATCACAGATGCAAACATGTACTTTGCTAATCACTTAATTATAGCATCATATTTAAAGGTCCCATATTACACAAAAGCTTTTCAGTTTTAAGCCATGTTACACTGTTACCTCATCAAAAACATACCCAGAGTTGTGTTTTGTTTCATTTAAACATTTGAATAATCCTGCTTTATTAGTCTGTGTACATCTCTAAAGCTCAAAATGCTCTGTTCCAGCTTGTGATGCCATAACACAATATATCTTACAATAATAATATTAGTCGTTGTAGTCCTTTCCTTTTTTAGTTTACCATAGCTCAACTCACCTATTTAAGTTTAATGTTATTTTTATATCTTAAGCCTTTAAACCTATTCAAATTTTAAGAGTCTTGCAATTGAAATGAAGAAAATGACGAGCCACACACAAGTAATTTTGACACTACAGAAGTTTACTTGAATTTGATCCAAGTTCATTGTCTCTATACAGGGTTTTTTATTTACAAGATCTGAAATCGGGGAGAGGGGAGGCGAGAAGAATAACATAAAAACGAACAAACAAACACTAGTTTTACAACTGAGGTATTAGCTAAAAGCATTTACAAGTTTGTCATTTTTACTGGTAAATATGACTGATGAGAAACACTTAGAGACGCAGTGTATTCTGCTTTTTAAAAAACATCTTTTCCATATCACAACATGAGGTAGGAGAACAGTGTCTCGATTTCATGCAAGAACAAAAGTCTCGTATAATTCGAAGTATTGGCAACGTACTATGCAAATAGTCACATAAGGACCCTGCAAAATGTCTTATTTAACAGCATAAGGGGAGTCAATGGAGATTTCCTCTTTATCTAAATGTATTAAAAATGATGTACCTAATATTAGTAAGGAAGCATTGATTACTTATTTTGACCTCTACCACATTGGCTTATTAAGATTGCTTCAGGATTTGACAACAGCGTATAGCACCCTTAAAAAAGTCCACCTTAAATTTGATTAAGGAAGCAATGGCTAGGTATTCCCCAAATGCAAAGGGATATCGCATTACAAGCATTGGTTTACAACTGGTGGAATTGAGCACAAAAGTTGGAAGAAAAAATCTGCAAAATTACAATGTTTTGATTTATTACGCAGTTTGATTAGGTTAAAATGGAGTTGTAAATATATAAAATTATAAAACTCAATGTGATCATGTATTATCATCCACGAGTTAAAAACCAAAGCCTTTACTGTCCAATATGGTAAAGCTTGAACAGTGCCCTCTAGTGTACGAGATGCAAATAACGCTGCATGCCAAATATTACATTATGGATAGAGGTAATTAAGTTAATACTGATTATCTTTTGAGTGCATATAGTGAGATTCAGAAAACACAAGACTGCAGCTACAGTAATAGTAATAGTCTTTCCCTTTGAATAGCTGCTTTGAGTCTGTCAAAATGTATAAGACAAATATTCTTCAATCTTATAGGCTACATCAAAATCCATCAGAATGAAAACTTACACATCAATGCTGACTCATGCACTTTCGCCATTTCGCTTGTGCGTTAAGTGGGACATTATTTATTTTACAAGAGATCTGCAAAGAGAGTGGCCCTCGTGAGACAAAAATGGGGGATTAGCAAAACATGCAAAAACGTTTTTTCGTTAAATATTTTCTCTCTTCTTTCCCAAATGCATTTTCTTAAACAAATGTCTTAACAAAAGCTTACATTACACATGAATCAGTCCACCATGAAATGATAAGTTTAAAATGGGGGAAGTGTGTAACAAAGCAATATAATATATCTTCCTATTTTTGTATTTCGTCCTGTGTCTTAAACCATGCTTTTTCTGTCACTCCCCGGTTCATTCACGCAAGTCATTTCTGCAAGTAGAAACAAAACAAAACAGCCTCATAGTTTGAAGCCTTAACCTGGTCCAAATTAATTAACCTTTTTAAGATTAACAGTTAATATATTAATAATGACTACTGTATTTACAAAGTGAATATAAATCTTTAGTTTATACGTTAAATATTTTTCTTTCATAACTTTTCAACCATAGAGCGTACATTTGTGGTAGTTTTCGAGTCCACTAGCTTTCCTCCTTAGCCTGGTCTTCCTAAAATGGTAAAGGGAAGTAGAAGTAATGCATCAGTGTTGTAGGATGGAGCACAGTGGAATGTCTTTTCAGTTGCATTTTCTTAGAGCAGATGCATAAAAAACTTTAAGCTAAGGCCCTGTCCCTGTCTATCTCTCTCTTTTGAAAACAATTATTTACACACATTTGAAATCAGGGATCTCCTTAGTGGCAATAGAAAGAAAGCGCTTCTTTGTCTGGCAACTGGCGCGGTTAAAAGCCCTCTCCTCTCTCTTCATTTGGCGGAACAACACGGATCAGCAATTAGCAAAGAGGGATTGATTTTAGGGTTGCACAGTATATGGTACAATAGAAAATATTCCCATTATAGGCACCATTTTGAGTACCATTCAGAAGATATTATACTTAGATCTGCTAACCTAATTTTATCTTTTTCCTCACTTTGAAACCACAAGATTAGAATGGAAATAACTTCAAGGATAGGGAATAGTTCTTTTACTTTGTATTGATCAATCATTGTTTCATTCCTGCCATTTGGAATAGATAATAAATTGATTGATTGGTCCAATGAGGTTCATTCGGTCTTCTGATATTATGTTATTAGGTTGTTTTTTCAGACCAAGAGTTTGTTTTTAATACCTGACAGTTTCGACTGCCCACTAGTGGTCTTCCTCAGAGTGGTCACGTGATGTTACTATGACGTGTCCAGCCAGCTGATTTATACAGGTGTTGGTGCTGTCTTTCTACTGGTAGAGGGAGGATGACAGCGCCATCTGCACTCCGACCTCCTCAGGACAGTATCCCTTAGTTTGTGAGTAAAAAAGCCCCCTCATCCCGGTTTATAGTCACGTTCAGTATACGAAACAAGGAACACAGAAGAGAATGCGAGGAAACAGTGAAGGCGAACCATGAGCAACAAAACACAATGCAGAACAGGAACAACTCAAATTGTCCACTTCTGACTACTGTGAAAGACAGAACCACATTCTGGACTGGGACGGAGCAAACATCTTTGGGACAGAGGAAAACAAACACCGTCGCTGGATTAAAGAGGCAATCGAATTATGGAATTGTGCCCACAGAACGATAAACCAGGATGAGGGGGCTTTTTCACTCTCACACACCTGAGTTTTACTCTCACTGTCCTGAGGAAGTCGAACTGCAGATAGCGCTGTCGTCCTGCCTCCACCGGTAGAAAGACAGCGCCAAAACCTGTATAAATCAGCTGACCAGACACGTCAAAGCAACATCACGTGACCACACTGAGGAAGACTGCAGGTAGCAGTCGAAACCGTCAGGAATGAAAACAAACTCTTGGTCTAAAAAAAGAACACAATAACATAAAATAAACTGATTGATTGTTCACTAATAACATGAAGAACTTCCTTCAATTTGGTATTCTTACTGGCTGAGTAGAACTGATATGCTTATTTCAAGTTTGAATATATATACCCAAACACATACAGTTTCATACAGTATTTGGGTTATTACATTGTTAAACCAAAACATATAAAATATCGTCAATCATTCACAGATGGCATCAAAATTCAAAAGCATTTAGGCTACAAGATGACACCAACAGCGAACAACTAGTCCCAGCCTGATCCTATGTTTTCCTCCCTTTGTACTGGCTCTCCCGTACAGTGCATGCCATCGCCTCATAGCCTTACAATAACAACAACAGTGTGCCCCCATTCTGACAGCCCGGGACAAAGCGGGGGGAAAAAAATGGCCTCTCCGTGGTACCCCTCGCGTCCGGGCCACCCACCCAGCCCCCCAAACGCACCCCTCAAATCCTCTTCCTCCTCTGGCCGTCCCTCGCTGTTTGTTCGTTCATGCAGATTAAGCAGCATGTAAGATAGCGATGAGGCCAGGATAACTGTAACCGCATTGAGTCGCAACCTACTTTCCTCAAAAGACAAATAAGGCGGGACAATGGTGTAAGGTGATACGGAAAAACCTAGAAAGTGTCAAAAAGTGGGTCTAAAGTTTTTTTGCGAGGATTTGTGGCTGCAGTGTTGTATTTCTGTACCTGATTAACCCTGATCCTTTGAGAATATAACAGCGAAATGAGGTCCTAGTTGGTCCTGATCTAGTTTAGATTTGGGTTAGATCTTGTTTAGCACCAGTTTTGTCCTGGTTTAGTGCTTACTTTATCCTGATATACTTCTGACTTAGCTAAGTTGCCTTGTTATTCACGGGCCTCAGCTTCCAGTGACATTTTGAAGACTTTTTCCCCCATTCAAAACATCATCATATTTTGTCTTAAACTATTAATCGCTATGGCAACAGTCCTCATTTTTTGTCATTCTGAAACTTATAGATAGACCTAATTTAGGACTGATTTACTCCAGACCGAGTCCTGGTTTAGTCTAGCCCCATTTAGTCCTGGTCTAGTCTACCTAATGCGTTTTCCCTTCTGATTCGTTATCCACTTTTACCATTTACTGTACAGAAAGGCATCAATAAAGCTAAGAAAAAAACGTATTGACTTGTAAACCCGCTAACTAGTTTTGATGCCCCTGTTTTGTCCCGTCAATAATAGTGCAATGTGCAGTCATGTAACTATGTACTATGGCTCTTCGTCTTCTTGGAAAAGTGACCCCAGCCGAGACCCTCCCCCCAAAGTCCAGACACATTCCTTTAAAGGGGCGACTGTGCAGGCCAAGTTTAAGGCTTCCTTACACCGACGGGACCTAATGAGAGCACAGGGCTTTCTGTCTAGACCAAAAGTGAAAAAATAACTCCTGTAAACTAAGTAGACTTGCAGTAGATAAAGATAAGAATATATGTGCAATGGTTTGTTGATATATAGGGCTGCATTAAGATAGAAAAACACTTACTAATTATTATTTAAATATTAATGTTAGATAGAATTACTTTTATTGCAATAATGTTTAAGTTTTTGTGGCTGCAAAAGCCTAAACGATGAGAGAAAATGTACAAAATTTGAAATAAATACACTTTTTTGGACTGGGATCACATCTTAGTGCTAATTTCATCATGGCATCTTCACAGCGTTTTTGAATTTCAGAAATAAAATCGCACTGTCGTCATGGCAATTAACAATTCAAACACATTATGCAATCTTGTTGAATGGCAAAAAGAGATCAAAATGTCAAGTGTAGTTAAACAGGGAGCTGAAACCCATGAATATATAGTAGTTAGTAGTTACCAAAATATATTGTGCAACCATAAATGACAGCTGTAGTATATTGATTGTGTGTGATTCTTTTGTCAATTACAGATGTTGTCAATTGAACCAAGAGAGAGGAGGAGACCGAAGCTAACTCTGACCAGACAGTTTTGCAATAGCTACCATGGGGAAAAACTCAACACACTTCAAGTTCATCGTCACTATTGGCATATATTCATGAGGTCTTATGACAATTGCAAAAGTTATTTATACAGTTAAGGTCTATTATGTCCTCTATAATAGATTTTCTACTATTTCTCTCTGTGTTTTTAGTAGCTGGTGTTTTGAGATTCCACAAATGGGGCACACAGTTGGCATCTTCAGAATGTCCATAGATATATATATTTAATCCACCATTTGCTGTGCCAGGTAGTAGCAGAACTTGAATTCGGCAAAAGTCTTGTGAGCTTAAAATGTCCAAAAGTTCGTAAGCTCCAAAAAGTGAATAGAAAGGTGATAGTTGGGGGGGTTGTATGATAAGGGTAGAATTGGTCACGATTTCGGACCAGATTCCTGTCTTCAAAGCAGCAGCAGCAGCAGTCAGTTCAGATAAAAACTATAAATAAAAGCAAAAAAAAAAGAAAAAAACATACATGCCCAAAAATATTTAAATACTGTTATAGTAATAGGAGCAAATGATGGGTAATAATAATAAAAAACACAATTTTTAAGTGTGGTTAAATAACAAAAGAATAGTCAGTCCTACATTGAAATAAAAAGGAGGCGAGGAGGTTGGGGGCAGACTGTTTTGGCGGGAAACTGGTGACAGGGGGCCTCTTGTGGGGTGGTACAGTTAAGCCCAAAATTATTCACACTCTGCTCAAACAGTTGATGCATCCATTCTGCCAGCAAAGAGGCAAGAAACAAATGAAAAATACAAATCTTCAAGATTAGAAAGAGTTGTAAATTGTCCATGTTTTGTCTGAAGCCCTTATGGTCCATTTTAGATGTGTTTTTGATACAAACTGTAAGATTTTCACACATTTCCAAGTGGATTTCATGTACCATTTTGCATAGATTTATCTTTTTCATGGTATTTCTTGTCATTTAAGTTGCACGTTAAATGCACGTTAAATATGGATTCTGGTTTCTTATATATTTTTATATGTCACGTTGTTTTGGTATCATCTTGTGGCATAATTATGTGAAGTTAAATGTCTCTGTACTCTTGTAGAATGTAATAAAATATAACTTTTTTGTGTATTTCTAAAAAAAATTAAAAATAAAAAAATATAAAAAATTAAATAATATTTTTTTTAGCTGTAAAAACCAGAGTATGAATAAACTTGGGCTTTTCTGTATGTGTTTGGGTCAGTTTTTTGGAAAGGTGGGGGGGATTACTTGTGGTGCTCTGATAGGGAGGAGGACGAGGTGGTGGGGGACAGGGAGTTAGGAGGTCCCGTGGAGGGGGTGAGCGGAGGGGAAGGGCTGCCCCCCAGAGCCGGGTTGGAGCTTTGGGTCATCTGTTGCTTGAGTTGGCTGATTGTGCGCTCCAGTTTCTCGCGGGCTTCTCTCTCTCTGCGCAACTCATCCTGCAACTCCTGTCTGTCTGCCTCTGCACGCTCCAGACGCTGACGCAACTCGGATAACTGGAGAGAGAGAGAGAAAGAGGAAAGAGGGAGGGAGAAGACAGAAGGTCAATACAACAAGTCTAAGGGTAATGTCTGACATGTCAAGCACAGCGGTAAATGGTAAAAGCCTTGGACTAGGTCTCTGTTTGTACTTGTGTTGTCATAGGAATGCTTAGGGAGCACATGTTAATAGATCACCAACAGTAAGGAATAATATGTGCTTAATTATGGCTTAATGATGAATGATTTCTTGTCTTTTCTTGTCTTGGCCATGTTTTACAAGCAAAAGCTCTTAAAACTATTATGTATCTCGATGTATCTGACTCAAACTACACAAGTCACAAGTACTAGGAAACTATATATTCATAAAATTTAAACTTGTGAATAATGAGTTTGCCTTTTACATATAAATAACACAAAATACCAAATCTTCAGCTAACTTTCTTACTTTTTGCTGTTGTCCCTTATACTAATAAATCATCATAATCTAAGAAACACACAATTTGGTCTAAGACTAAAACTCGGCCAACTCTCTCTGTACTACACAAAACAGTACACATGTTTAACCAATCTGTACTTACAACTGTGATTAGATTTGACAAATAATCTTAATCGGAATAGATAATCAGAACAAAACAAAACTTCACTGCCTACTTCCAAAGATAAACCGTCATAAGATTGTAAGATTTGGTGCTCCAAGTCAAAACAAGATTAGGCAAACAAAAATGTAACTAATGTAGACACAATTGCAAGTTGCCGTCCTGTCGAATATTGAAAAATTGCAGTTTAATAGCTAATCGTGGGTTGCAGCATCCTGTTGCCAATGCCACTTTGGAAAAGGCATCATATTTTTTATACTATTTTACTATGGCAACAGTCCTTCGCTATCATCTTTCTGAAACCCATGAAAAGCACTGCACCTTATATAGATTTGCATTCATGTTAAATAAGTGGTACTTGTAAAAGTAGTGGGAACATATGTCTGCTCTATATTGGCGGCACATGGCTTGTATGATGTTTAATGCCAAGAAGGATGTGTTAGGAGGAGGCTAATTACACTCTGTGGGGGAGCTCAGTAGTCCAGCTCTCAAGCCAAAATAACACAACATCAAAGTAGGCTACACCAAACATTCTCAAGCTGTGGTCCTGGTTTAGAGCTGGTGGTAGCAGGTTTTGGAGTACGATTTTGTTTTGACTCTGAATCAAATCTTTTTGTCGCTTTTGTATTGGCTTTATCATTGTTTGGTCATATCTTTTCTGTGTCTGCATTGAAGTAGACCAGGGTTATTCTTAATTTAGACTCACTCAGTGTAATTACTAAGGAAAATTGCACATTACATTTAAGTTTGGAGAACTTAGAGAGCATTATGATCTTGTACATTGGTCTGAATGTTGTTGTGTGGGTTTTGTCTCTCTTTCTTTGTCCTTTTTCTGTACTGTAATGTACTGTGTTGATACATCTCATACAATACCAGTTGTTTCTTTAACAATATCACATGGTATTATTCTAGCTCTGATATAAGTATTAAAAACAATTCAGTATTCACTGAGTCCAGCAGTGAGGCTAGTACCCATCAGATTTTGATTTTGAACCCACATCCTCTCCAGTGCTTGTCCCCGTACCTGTGCGGTGTAGTGTGCCTCTTGCTGCCTCTGTGCTCCAGGCTCACACGCACAGCCCTGTTGCCTGAGCTGCTCCAGTCTGCTCTCCAACTCGTGCTGCTCGTGTCTGGCCTGGGACAGCTGCCTCGCCTGCTCACTGTGCACCGCCTGCAGCTCCGACCGCAGCTCCCTCTGCTCCGCGCTCAGCTCACGGAGACGAGCAGCCTCTCCTCCACGCAGGGCCTCCAACTCCTGCAAACACAGATACAGTTAGGGATGGATAAATATGATGAAATATAAGCAAGAACACAAGCCATCAAGGATAAACTACAATTAGCAACGCCTGATATGGGGGACTAAATACAATATGATGAAACTCCTACACACACGGAGGAGGTGTTAAAGAACTCCAAATAGGACACAATTTTATATTTTTTATGTTACTTAAGTTGTAATGTTAGTTTACTACTGGGAAATTATTACATTGATAGAAGGTAGTAACTTGAATAAACATAGAGGTTCCCATGGTGGAATATAGTCATTTTCACAAAGGTAAGATTTGTATTAATAGGGTAATTCAGTGAAAATATCAGTGCATTCACTAAAGCTAAGATTCACAAGGGGAATGTTTGGGCTTGGAAGTAGTTGTCATAGTACTTGTAAAAGCAGTAAAAGAAGCCTTGGCTGAAAATTTGATAGCAGAAACATACTTTGTCATTTTAGTCATTATACACATTTGTATGGGCAGTTGTGTAGAATTAGTAGCTGCAGCAGTAATGAGTATTTTCATGAAATCAACAAGCTTTTTGCTAGCCTAATTCATCAGCCGTTTTCACTTCGTGGAAACCGTCCGACGTCGCAGCGTTAGAATCCGTTCGCTCGACGGTAGGCGGGTACTTTTTTATTTAACCAATTGCTGCTATTTTGTCGTGGCGTATGTAAAGTGCTGCTAATGGGGCTAACTGGTATAATAAGCTTTTCCCAAATCCTGTAGGAAGAAGAGCAAGAATGTCTTTCCCCTTGATAAAATTCACCAAACATTCTCTTTGTTCTGGCTTTAATTCCTTGATCTCAGGAATCGTTGCCAAAACAGAATATATGGCTCTTCGGTGATTGGCCGGGTTTTCTGAATTGTCTAGTGTATTCCGATTCCTGACCAAATCGCTGAAGAGAAATGAAATTGAGCGGAGGCACTAGGTGGCGCAAGCCTGGCTAGTTTTTGTACCAACTATGTAGAGAAGTTCATGACTGAAGATAACTGTCCAAGGCTCGTACAATCATAGAGTAATTTTAATTTTGTTCCATTCCCATACTCAGTTTCAGGATAATTTTTTTATCTTGTCGTAGAATCAACATCAGATTTACGTTCATGTCTAAGTTTACATTATTCTATAGTACACATTTGTATGTGCAGTTGTGTTACATTAGACTCTCCCTCACCATCTCCAGCTGCAGTTGCTTGTGCAGTGTAGCGTTGAGCTTCTCTTGCTGTCTGCTGTACATCTGCATGATCTCCACCACGATCCGGTCCTTGTCGTCTTCGGGACCCCCCACCGCGCCGCAGCTAGTCAAGTCTTTGGGCTCCGTTTGCTCCATGAGAGAGGGGGTGGAGGAGGAGGGGGGCGGAAGAGGAGGAGGAGGTGGTGGAGGGGGGCTGGCGCTGCGCTTCTTACAACTGCTGCTGGTCTCCATGGAAACTGCCTGGGCCTGGCGTTCCCGGTCGGCTGACAAAATCTGGGACTTGCACTCGTCGGGGGAGGCGGTCGAGACGGGAGGGGAGGCGTGGAGGTCTGAGGAGAAAGAGAGAGTTTAAGAGATGGTGATGGGAGATGGATGCAAAGATACACTCATTATTCAATTGTTTAGTATGTTATAGTTGTAGTTTTTGCTTCTTTTCACTCGTGTTTTCAGTAAATCACCCAAGCATGTTCCTAGTTTGTTATGTTTTGTTCGCCACCAATGGAAATAAAGCAGCAAAGAGAAAGAAAGGAAGGAAGTACGGAAAGAGTGAGAGAGAAAGACAGATAGAAGGGAGAGGAGTTGATGATGCTGAAAAAGAGGGAAAAGTAAGGGAGCAAAGTCTTGTCACAGTTTCAACTGACTTGATACTCAATACCAAGTTTGATACTACAATGATATTTAAAATAACACTTTTTGTAAAACACAAAATCATTGCAGTTTCCATATTATGTTCTAAAAAGGGCCCATCTACTGTATGTTATGTTGTTTTTTCCTCATCAAAAACATAACTGAATTTGTGTTTTGTGGAATTGCCAATCTCTACTGTACAAAAGGTGGAACAGAGCATTTTGAACTTTGGAAATGTAGACAGACAAAGGTTTATTCAAATATGTGTGAATGAAACAAAACAGAACTCCAGGCATGAGCTGGATGAAGAAACATTGTAACATGGCTAAAAGCTCACAAGAATCAATTTTGCGTTATATAGGACCTTTTATTTAACCTTTAGCCCTTTAATATTATCATTCTGTCTTATAATAGCCAAATATAGATCAACACGATTCAAAACCTATTCAGCAAAGTTCAAACGATGTCCCATTAATGTAGTTTCAATGTTAGTTTATCTGTTAGTATCAACAACAATCCTCTTCTCCTCTATAACTTCTGAGTTATAGAAGTTAAAGAGGAGAGAAGGGAGGAGAGAGGGAGAGATAGAGGAGAGAGGTGAGGAAAGAGAGGAGCAGGTGCGAAGACAGAAGACAAAAGAGGGAAGAAAGGGAAAAAGAGAGAGAGGTGAAGAGGTGAGGAGTTATTGAAGGTTATGAGTAGACACACAGAGAGATGGAATGCGCTCAGAGTTCTGATGTAAAACTACTAAAGTGCGAGCCAAGCTGTCGCCTACGCGCGCTGACACCCGCTCACGCTCGCACATCCTCGCTCTCCGGCTCCGCATGGCAACAGGCAGCCCACCCAGCACCCAGCACCGAGAAAGCTAACGTCGCCCACAAACCCTCCGCGTGCTGCAGACAGAAGAGACACAAGTGTGGGTGCTCGCTGCGTGGGCCCACCCTTTGTTCAAAAAACTCTGTTCCTCTGCTTTAAAGATGGAGGCAGATCAAACCACAAACTACTGTGTCACTCATGTGTGCGCTTAAACCTGGGAAATGTGGTAAAAATGTATCAGGATTTTCTGTATTGATCTGTATATGTTTTTATCCCTTTAAAAACTAATAATAAGTTTTCAGTATTCATTTTGTGTAAAGTGTAAACAAGACAAACTTGTAACACAAATTTTTTACCGCTCCACAGATCTGACCTGTAACTTGGTCCTTGCGGCGTCACCTGCCTGTCTCCATGGAGATAACCTAATAGATAATAACACCATACTGTGAAACACTTCTGACAAAACAATGACATCTCCATGAAGACAAACAGGTCAGTTGTCACCTCATTAAAAACACACCCAGTTGTGAGTTGTGTTTTGTTTCATTCACACATGTTTGTGTAGTCCTTTATTATTAGTCTGTCTGCCTGTACAAAGCTTAAAATGCTTTGTTCAACCTTGTGATGTCATGAAGTGGCAACCAAAGAACAACACAGCTATGCAAAAAACAAAAACATAACATAGTAAACAAAAAAATAACTATATGGGTAAGACACTGTAAAAATGTACCTGGTGGTTCAAAGGCTTTTTTACAGTTGATGAAAGAAATATCATCCAAAGCCACACAATCGAATCCTGTTTGACTGTGTTTAGTTAACAGATACATTTAACCTTTAATTCAGAGATGGGCAATTCCAGGAGTTTCTCTCTGTTTAAGAGAAGAACTCAGCCTAAATATGCAGGATTTGTGTTTAAAATGAGCGTGAATGAAACAACTGAGGAAACACCTTTATAACAGAGATCAGAAAATAGCATAATACGAGCCCTTTAAAGAACATTAATGGATTTACCCTTAACTTAATTCAATATTGTAGTAGCGTAATGCATGCTCTATTCATGTCTTTGTCATTTATATCATTTGCCCATTCAAAAGATATCTTGTTTTTTGAATTGCTAATGAATATGTTTATGGTGGTCAGAATAGAAAGAAGCCGCAGTGATGCCAGGCTGTTAAATGTATTTGGAGAAAACGCAGCTTGTCTGGCACCAAGAGAAACCCGTTTTGTGAGTCATAAAGCAGCATGCATGCACAGCCCTGCACCTGCTTTAAAAAGACATTTGAGTCACAGGAAAAACTCCACGAGGAAAGAAAACAACACAGATGGAGACACAGAATGGGTCTGAAAATGAATGAAAGAACAAGGATGAAGTGGAAGAGAAAGAGAGAACACTACTTCTATCACTACTATTACTACTTGCAAGAATTTAAAAGTCGAGTCTTGGTTTTAGTTTTTCCTGCTTTTGTTCATTGGTGGTTCTGCCCCACTTTTATAATGATTGGTACTTTTTAAATGAAAGTGAATGAAAGTATAAGCTATATTATATGTTATTTCAAAGCCTCTACTACTTTCATATGTTTTTCCAATAGCAAGAAGCGCTACACTCAGATAACCTAGAAAATAACAAGAAAATAGGTGAATACAGAAAAATATAGGAGGAGGCTTTCAGATGGTAATTACTAGCATAGCATAATGCACCTTTCTATTATTCTTTCTTTCATTCTGTCCCTCTCTCCGTCTGTTCTCATGTTATCAATGGCGAGTGTTTGTGTGCTTTTAAAGTGCACATGAAAAACAGATCCAGGAGGCGAAAGTAGAGGAGAGGTCATCAATACTCACTCCCCCAGAGTCTTTACATGAAGGTCGCAGTATTATGAGGTGAGGGCTGCGGGCGGGGGTCATGTCTATGTACATGATATACTAGCAATAGTCGCAGTTATGCATATGTTGTTGTTGTAGCAGTAATAGTAGTAATCGTAGTAGAAGTTGTTGTAGTTATGTATATGATGTAGTAGTGCTGGTAGCAGTAGCAGTATTAGTAGGAGTAGTAGTGATAGTAGGAATATAAGGAAAGATCTCTTTTATTCATTTTTGGTTAAATAATTAATCAAAGAACACATTGATTGATGAAATAACTGTCAAAAATCTTTTCTTTTTTAACCAAATTATTTACAAGCCACGGGTGTCAGTGATTTTCAGTGTAGTATTTGCAAAAACAAGACAGCTTTAAGTTTTGATTTTGACAATTGGACAAATAAATAATGAATAATACTTTTAGTTTTGATGATTTAAATGATATTTGAGTGTTCTCCCCCAGCATCTTGTAGTCCTTGTAGATAATACCAGCAGTAGTAGTGATGTATATGCGGATGTTTACTATGAGCGCGTGCAGCTGCCTCCCACGGCTCTGACCTGATCCCTGTCTCTTCCTCTCAGCGAAGATGAGGATGTAAATGCAGAGTGCTGTTCTGTGTGGAGCTGTATATTTATAGGCCATGAGTGTCAGAACCTATGGAGGGGCTGCATGTCGCCTGGTGTGGCTCTGATTAGGGTGGAGTGGTTAAAAAGCATTCATTTGTGGAGCCAAATTTGAAAGGAATTTGGAAATTAAGATGCATACATTTCAAAGGGTATTCTGTTCATCCTAATAACATAAAAACCTGCTGAATATTTAGGTTATCAAATGGAATAATTGTTGATGTACAGTATAAATAATGTCTCTAAATGGTCCCACAGCATGGTCCAAGATTCAGATTTTAGCCAAATGAAGCAAAATGTAAGTCCTCAGTATATTCCCTGAGTACTAATGCTGAAAAATATTTGATTGACAAACAACCAAACAGAAAAAAGTGAGTGCTGCATTGTAAGTAATGAATGAATCCATAAAGGGTCTGGATTTTGAATGACCAAAAGAGCGATTCAGATTTGATGTCAAACAGTATTTCTGCTTGGAGACATTGACAGAATACCAGTTTTAAGGACTAGCTTTCAGTATTCACCATTTTGACGACTTTTGACCATTCAAATATTTTAAAATTTTCATCACTTCAAAACCCATATTTTTGTCGTGTTTATGTTGTGACACTGACCCATGGGTGGCTCGTCGTGTCCCAGGACCCTGCGGTTGTAGTGGTGCTTCAGCAGAGCTCCCAACATCTCCGGGCTCATCTCCGCCTCCCGCCGAAGAGACACATTTGGAGCCACCATCTTATCGTACGTGTACAGGTAGTAGCTGCACAGAAGAGAGAGAGAAAAAAATTATTAGGCAACAGATTTCTTAGATCACTTCATGCTAGAAAAAACAGACTAGAGGTCTTTTACTAATGGAAAAGTCAATGGATTTTGATTGAATCTTTGGCTGTCAGTTGAAATAGTGGTTTTCAAATGGTAGGTTGGATCCATTTTAGGTACAGAATGGAAAAAAAAGTATGCTATTGTTAAAATTAAACTGGTTGATTAATGGATACTCAATAAAACATGTTAAGATCATGTATTGACTTGAGTTGTGTCAGTACTTCCCACATGGTACATCAGATCCAACCTACCTGGCAACAAGGAATGTCTAGTAATGCTAAATTAACCGGCAGTGTTTACTTGATCAAGCCTAGTTTTTTGTTGTGGTTAAACATCAAATAATTGATAAAGAAATATATTATTCAAAATGTACTTAGCTCATTATTTGATTAAAGCACATTTTCCTCTTTGAAAAAAATAAAATAAAAATAAGGTTGCATTACATATTCATTGCTTATTTCACTTAGAAATGCTTATGAACGAATGTATTATAGAACCAGCATAATTTTGGCACACTCCCACAACAAAACTAATTTATATTCTAGTCATTTACATAGCAAGTTGCAAGGTATCCAAACAACATATTCTAATGGATTCCTTGCCACAGCAGGTAACAGTCAGATTTCAAGCTATACACTGTGTAGACTATGGATATTTGTTATCGCGCCTCTGCAGCCAAAACAGACACAGGTTTTATCACTAAGGTCCAGGAAGAGGAGTCAGTGGCAGATAGCACAGTGGAGATGTGCTAAAAGTCAACCAAGAGTATCTATCTAGCATTTTCCTCTCTGCGCGATGGAAAGTAGAAAAAAAAAACAGGTTTGTAGTTGGCAACCCCTCCCCCACCAGACAACTGAGAGACTGCAGTGTGAACTGGGTTAAGCATGGCGGCTCAGCGGGGCTCTTCCTAGAACGTACAGCAACACCAAATCTATTTTTTCACTATCTTTCCTCTCAAGATTGGAGCGGAGTGCTATCGACGTGCAAGCAAACCTTTATTGATAAAACGCAAACTTGTGATTTGCAGCCGTCAAACTGAACACTGATCTGTTTTTGATGAATAACATCTACCATACCGGATATTTTGTACAGCTAACTTAATTTTGTAACCAGGTTGGAATATATGACTGTATAGGTCAATGTAAATTTGAATCACACAAGTGAATCATTCCTATATATTAGTACTGAGGTAGTCATAATTATGTCAGATGCCTTATTTGGCACATCCGATCTGCTTTAGCGCTTTAATTAAAACTATTTCCTCACTGACGAATTTATAGTTATTCTCATACTGGGTTAGGATACGCCTGTCACGCTAACAAAAGTTGAAGTTTCATATATTGCTGAAGTAAATATAGATGATAGATGAAATATAGATAAACAATAATATTGAAACCAAACCATAAAGCAGAATTATCCAGCTAAATGTATTCTAAATGTACAATGTGTGTGTGATTTCTAAAGCAGAAAATATTTCAACTCTTAAATCAAAAGCGCATGATGGAATATTAAATATAAACTCAAATAACTGTATTACTCTTGATTTTACAGCTTTACCTTTTTAAAAGTTAACTTCAGCTGTGGGAAGAGAAAGTGCAAACATACAAAGTGGAGTATTGACGAGTGTAGCAGATAGGACGCCGCCAGCTGGCTCCTGTACAGGTATTGATGAATTCTGTAGTGTTTGTTTACAAGATACATTCTTGGACATTTTGCCTCTAAGGAAAAGAGATAAAGATACTGGGGTGTTTTTAAAGGTTGTTTAAAACTAGTCTATAGGGTTGGTTTTATTCAAATACAAAATTCAAGCAAACTACATTTTTGTTACCTTAAATATTTGTTTACACGTATTCTCATGAAGGAATATCTTAAGTCTCATATTTTAACTGTGTTTGAATCTTTCAGCAATACTCTAGAATCTACTTTGTCTAACTATTTGAGATTAGCATAAGAATGTGTGCGAGTGAATGTTTAAAATTAAGTTTGGCATGAACTACTGCGATAACTATTGTATTTTGAGTAGGGATATAACAATAACTGAAATATCCTGATATCGTATCCTCAAAATTCTCACAATAATATCGTGGACAGTCACAATATATCAAATTACAAGCCTTTTTGCTTAAATTAAGATTTATGGTGAAGCAGTAGCTAAAAATGACAGAGGGAATTACGTAGACCATGATCCTTTGCTCCATTTCAGTGTAGATTACAAGAAGAAATAACAGTTCTAAGCACTTCTAAGTCTTAGTTCTTTGGATTAAGTCTTGTCAAGGCATTTTAAGAGGAAAAAGTAGCAGATTAACAGTTTTGTTGGCCTCTACAAAATATCACAATAAATATATGTGAGATGTAAAGCGTGAAAATATCGTACTGAGAGATTTGGATATTGTTACATCCTTAATCGTAAGCCTCCCCACCATATCGTGAGCTTTCCCACAATATCGCAATAAATATTGTACCGTGAGGTTCATACCGTAACGATATCGTATCGTGAGACTTGGATATCGTTACACCCCTAATTCTTAAATATTTTAGCACAAAACAACTAAACTTGAATTTACAGGTTTGGGCTGTTTGACTGTTCAAGTATAAATACTGCATAATACCATTCGATGTACTACCAGAGAAGGCTTCCAAAGTAGTGTTAAGGTTAAGAAGTTGAATATAGTTATGTAATGCAAAATTGAAATGTTAGAATGTCGTTACCTCCTCCAAAGCATACCTGGAATGATCTGAAATAGCTCTGTGTTTGTTTTTTAATGTTATGTTAATCCAATTTGTTCAAAATATTAAACCAAAATGCCCTTGAAAAGTCTTGCAGTATTAAATTGAAGTAGTAATCAGAGCTTTTGTATTTTTGCTGTACCTGGGATGGACCAAGGCGGGGTGTCCGGGCTCCTCCTTGATGTCACTGAAAAGTCGATTAAACACCAGCGAAGGAGGAGATGATTTCCCCTGTAAGAAATAAAACACAGATTAAAACCACCCTAACACTACTCCGAACCACAATACATCTCTGCTGGAGTCCTCAAAATGGCAGCCCTCCTTCACTTTTATCGATCGCTGCATACATTTGTTTCTAAATAGATAAATTATCATGGTGACAGTGTAATGCATGCAGCCACAGAGAGCTGAACAGTGGGGACTGAACGCGGCCGACTTCGAGACATAATCTAATAAAAGTTAATATATGCATGCGTACAAGGATCATCCATCAGACATCAGCCCAGCACCAGGAGGAGAGGGGCAGGTCCGGGCAAACTTAATCATGATAAAGGGACGATCCAGCGCCGCATGTGGGACAACGAGATGTGTAATAATATAGGGGAAATTTTGACTTAATGTGAAATCGTAATTTGCGGTGCCCAAAGCAAAGACTGTGTTGTAATAGGGGAATGATGGTCTATGTGACATTTGCTCACTGGTCTAGTCCTGGTTCATATCTTACTGTAGAGCTGAGATGATGAGGTTTTGATTAAATTGCAAAGGAAGGTCACTAGTGGTATGGAAGCAGCTTAGTCTATTGATAGTCGTGCTGAAATTTCAAACTAAACTAAAAAAAACTTCATATTGCTATATATTCAATACCTTAATGAAAATTTGAAAGCTGCACTATGTAACTGTCTCCCACCTGCTGGTCTCCATGGAGATGTGATTGCCTTGTTTGGAATGTTGCACAGTATGGCATTTACAGTAACTTACCTAGCTGCATAGAGACAAGCAGGCAGATGACAGCAACAAGTTACAGGTAAGATCTTTGGAAAGGCGAGCTTAGAGTAAGAGTGTATGTTTTTCAATATGTTTTTGGGCAATAAAGATACTGTAATTCATTGTTTCCCACAGACTGGGTAACGACCCTCAGGTGGGCCGAAAGAGATTTTTTTGGGTCGCCTTGTCACGATCTGCACGTATCTGCATGTTTTCTATAATCGTTTTGTGATTATCTTATTGACTATTTTGTTCCAATATTGCTGGTTCAGTTGAATGTTGAAAATAAAAAGAAATGGGCTACATTTAATATCCAAATAGGTGACTTATGGATACGTGTGAAAAATCCCTCAGTAGTCCAGGTAGAATCTATAGCAAAGGAGAAATTCAATTTGTCAACTGGACAAAGTTTATTTGGTCGACTACATTTCGCAGTTCATCCAAGCTGCTTCTTCAGTTCTGGTCAGAATGCTGGTAGGTATTTCCTTATATCTGCCTGCAGGGAGGAGCCAACTACAATCAAACTACTCTGAAACTAACACACTTAATGATCCCTTTTATTGCTGGTTCAATTACTGTTATTCATTGTTTAAAGCTTGAGTAATACTAATTGTTAGGAGAGACACAATTACTCAGTCAACAATAAAATATCCTCATTAATGTTCAATAATGGTCTAATCCACCTTTATTTTGGGATTTGCGAATAATTTCTATTGACTTGGGTCACAAAGGTTTGTGACTTTTAAAACATGGGTCCCCAGAAAAAATGTTTGTGAAACACTGCTGTAATTGAATAAATACAAGATCGCTAAGTTACATCTCCATGGAAAAAAATCAGGTGGAGGACCCTCCATCAGAAAAGGGACATAGAAAATATTTTAATACAATATTTTTACACAAAATAACAGTAGTTTCTCTAGCTTTTCTGTGTGTTTTTGTCAATAATGATAGATTTTTAGATAGGTTTCATGCTAGTTTTAGTATTGATTAGTTTCTGGGTATCAGTGTTTTGACAGCCCCAACAAATAAACACCTGCCAACCTCAAGGTGGGTGTTTCTGTCCTCACTATTCACTTCCTGTATTGTGTCTTTTGGCACATCACTACACAAACATTGTTTCTAAGGCTGGAGGTGGTCTAATGGGGAATAAAATTAGCAGGAACAATGGGCTGTGATTTTCTTATTTGATTTTCTTCTATTTCACAAATTCAAATCAATATCTCACTGTTAAAATGGGAAACTCAGTATTGTATGTCATATTGTTCACACGTTCAAATAATGCAGATTTTTTTCTATTATTGTCCTTGCCCTAATTGTCGGGGGAGGAGAGGTGACGCAGCTTTCTGACAGGTGTAACGGAAGAAGCGCGCCGACGTGAATAGATCTGTCTGCGAGTGAGCCGTGGGGGGTGTGGAGGAGGACGGGGGAGGGGAGGGGGGAGTGTTGACCTTATGCCAGGGTCAAAAGACTGGGGTGCTAACGAACTAGAGAGCCTGGAGCGTGAAGACGGTACTGAGGAACGGATGTCGAATTTCAGAGTTGCCTTCAGGTATCAGTGCTCACTGGTCTCTACGGTTAATGTTTTTCAAATATAGACCACTAGAGTTTGTTTGCATTATTTATATGTTGTCTATAATCATTTAAAGCAGACATGTCAAACTCAGGCCTAGTTTCATGGCCCGAGATCATGTCAAATATGTATCAGAGCTCGCCCACTGGCTACAGATAGGCTATAGAGACATTTATTTGAAAATGTGTTGTTATTTTATATTATGCTTGCTCTGGATTCAGTGTTTAAGCAAAACTATTATTAAAGATTTATTTTAATAAGAAACGTTTAACATTACATATCTCGAAAGAAGAGAAAACATGCAGATGTTGTTGAAATTTTTCAATAAATATTTAGTTTGGCCCACGACTTAGTCCCATTTTTTAAATTTGGCCCTCTGTGAATTAGAGTTTGACACCCCTGATTTAGAGTATATATTTTATTGGATTTTTATATGATGTATTTTTCATGATTATAGTAGTAGCGTGAACTCGGGCTGGGCAATATGCCAAAACAAAACTAAACAAAAACACATATCATTGACTACAGTGCAAATTTCTCTGATCTGGCCAAGACTTTAAAATGTAAATCAGGTTATTGATCTTGTTTTCAGATTTATTATCTACTTAATAGTTCTGAGACTGCTTAATTATAGTCTAGAGGTAGTTTATTTAGTAGTATTTATAAGTTAAATGATCTTACTGCATGGACAGATAATTTCACGACTTTTTCGGATAGATTTAAGGGCTTATATCTTAAATTTTGGTCACACTATTATATTATGACATCTAAAGTCAAATCTATTAATCTTGTCATATCACTCACCTTCTTCACATGTTCGGTGTCTGATAATTTGCCGCTAGGAGGGCAAATGTCCACCAGGGGCTTCTTAGCGCGGCTCTCCTCCTCCTCCACTGCCTTCTGTAAAACAATGGAAGAAGGACACAATGGTTAAACCTGGGGCAGAGTCTGTAGCACTATCCATACATCATATTCAATGTAATGATTTGAAACACAAGGCAATGCATCACTATCATGCCACCACATTTTCTGTCTATGAAACTGTCCCCTTATATTGTCTTATTTTCCCGGCTGTTGGGCTTTCCAGGATTGCCACAACAAATCATCCACCTTCATCGGACCCAAGCCCCCATACCCTCTTCGCCATAAATCTCTTCTTTGGTCTTCCTCTACATCTCACAGCCTTCTGCCTTTTATTATTGTCAAAAATAAAAATAAAATACAGGATATTAATCGATACTTAATCTAGACACTCATTTGAACAAATACGTATCAATGGAAGTAAGAAGTGAATACTCAAGCAGAACAGTTTTTTTTCTTTTCTGAATTGTTATCGAGTGGTCAGAACTAATAATAATATTATAATTAAATAAATGGACAGTATTTATTTTGGGTTGCAAATTGCATTCTACTGTATGAAAAATAAGTGTTTTTAATAGTAATTATAGGGTCAAAATCAGAATCAAGCCTTAATAATTTACTATTGCGACAACACACAAAATTAAAAATCTGAATTATTACACACTATTGGTATGCCCTGAAAACCTAGTTAAAAATTTTCTTATCCCAACCACAACTAGACAGACATATTGGATATCATCATCAAAAATCACAGCTTTCAGGGTGTAAAAATATAATTTTCCTATCAACAATATGCAAAACATGACATAAAAAATCCAAGGTGAATAAGAGATCCAGATTAAGCATACAGGAAGCATGTTGGCTGGTTTTGCATAATTAAAATGATATACCGACTCTGTCATGAAACATGGTGAGAAAGTGGTGAGAAACAACAGTGACACCTAGACAACAGCTTTTAAAATTACATGAAATAAAGACAGATTTCATCCCAAACTGAGATGAATTGCTTGACACTCGTCGCTGTGTAATAAGGCTTGGTAATGTAGTGAAGCTGCTGCATAGGATATAATGGGTATATATAATGGGTCTATGAATAAACAGTGGAAAAAAACGCATGGGCAAACAACATGGCTACTACACACTTAGACTACCAATTTAAAGAAGTACGTCCATTTTAAACGAACAAAAACGCATATGCATGGATGATATACTGTAAGCTGGAGTGTTCCACAGCATGGCATTAACCTCGTCTTTGTGTAGATACGTTGACGATGGTATGATGACACCTACAGGGCAAGCTACAAGTCAGGTCTGTGGAGAGCTCACAGTAATATAGTAGTTATGTTATAGTAGTAGTACAGTATAGGTTTGGGGTGTGCAAAAATATTGAAATATCAATATATTATATTGTTTAATGTAATGGTACACTATTGATATCGTGGGCTGCTGTATCAATATATATATCGAGTAGTTTTAGTTATATTTTACTAAATTATTTTGTGTAAGAGCCATAATTCTGGTGACATTTTCACTGTTCTGAATAAAACGTGTATTTTTCATATTAACTCTGCACAAACTCAGTGGACTTAGTAGTCTTTTAGTATCACAACCATGATTTTACCTTTGTTTTTCACAGAACTATATCGTATCGATTTGAAATATATCGTATAGAATTGTACTGAATTCGAAAAACATATCATATCGTGGCCTATCTATCGAGGTATGTATCGTATCGGCAACTTCTTAATGATACCCAGCCCTAGTATAGGTACATTTTGTGATTAAATAAATGCAATACCGGTGCGTTTCATGCCATACTATGAAACATTCCAGGCAAAGTAATAACATTTTCATGGAAACAAGCAGAAAAAAGTTACACAGTGCATCTTTAAATAATAGTGGCAAGTCAATTTGGTCTTTTTTTTTTGTTTTGTTTGTTTGTTTATTTTTGGCAAATGTGCATTGAGCAAAAAGCTGCTCGCTGAGTAAGTTGATGTTTATCTATGGGAAACGTGTAGTACAAACAGTGGGCAGTCAGGCAAGGCAACGTTGCATTAGAGATTCAACGTATGGGAGCACGATGGAAGGGCAGGAAAAGGCACGCAAGGATTGTGCATGTAAAAAACATGAATAATTGACTTGCTAGACCTTTTAAAAGACATATATAAACGTTTATGGAGGGCTGAGTGGATTACAAACAGACAGTATTTCATCGGCTGGACTCGAGGCACCGGAAATGGACAAAGACGAATCACTACTCTACCAGTAATTACAGCAAGTGTTTAAAAGGCTGGGAACAATGGGACCAAATTACAGAGATAGATGGTGTCAAATGGACTGTCAGAACAAGGCTTTCAGCTTTGTAGCTTATCCTGAATTATGCATGTTTTTCAATTGTTCTATTAAAGGATTACACCATATTTAAATTATGGTGTCATATTAGTGCGTGCTTTCAAACTTGGCAATTGATATAGGCTTCAACATTTTGTGCTAAGTGGTAGGCGTACTATTAGCATGTCAACATTACTGCGTATGCTTTATTTATTACAAGGAATCGAATAGTGTGACAGAATATAAAAATATATGTTAATGTGCATAACACTTTTATTATAAAGGTTATTAAGAACAGAGGCGGCGCTACTATTAGGCAACAGTAGGCGGCTGCTTAGGGCCCCCAAACCTAGAGGGGCCCCCAACCAATTGCCCTCAACGCCGAGGCCTCAGAGCAGTTAAATTTTCTCTTAATATGACGTTAAATGAGAGTAATTTGTTTTTAAACAAATTACTAACTCTGCCACTGATCAAGAATTAATAAGAAAAAAGCTAATATTGTAAATAAATGTGGAAATACTTTGCCTCTTAGCATTATATTTTTGTTTTGTTTCATTTATACATATTATTAATGTATTTGCATAAAAGTTGTAATCTTCTGCTGATGTTGTTTTAAATGTACGTCTTTTTTTTTTTTTTTTTTCTAAGGAACTTTGAGCATGAGGCAGGAGAGGTAGCCTAACCTTAACAATAGCCAGTTTGACTGACAACCATTCACTCTCACATTTAATCCACTATGACCAATCGAGAGGCACCATTTCACCTATCCACGTCTATGGATATAGGGACTAATCCGATCCTATGCAGTGCTATTACTATTATAACAACTACTTTGCATCACCGACTTCCATGTTTTGGCATTATCCCCAGAACAAAATTGAAGTTTAAGCTGATTGACGTGCCCAGGGTTAGTTAGTTTTCCATCTCCACACAATGGCATACCTTCTCCTTGTAATCTCACAGTGAGGATGCCAGCAGTAACACCTATTCAAACCCGGATGCAAGTTGACAATAACAAATAAACAAGAAAAGCCCTTTGCCGCGAGTGCTGCCGATCCGACTAGCGCATTGATGTGTAAATAGGCTATAGGGCCTTATTTACAATGCCATGGGTGAGTAGGCTTGTGCATGCCAATGGAAGGGGCTGCAGCCATATGCTTAACCAGGTGTGTCTATGCCAGCTAGTCTTTCAGTTTACTATAGGGCTGCAAGATTAATTAATCGCAATTTGAACGGACGCAAATAGCAAAGAAGCTCGTGAAAGCTACAATTTTTAAGTACAATAAACAAAATATCCCCTTATTCTGCGTAAAAGCTGTATGTTCTGAAATCTTGTATTAGTTGGCCAGTTCATATTTCAGTCTTTTTGATGAGTACATTGTGTGCGTTTGACCATTATTAAAACATGAGTCGCAAATCAAATCGCAACGCTTTTCAGAAAAATCGCAATTAGATATTTTTCATGCAGGCCCTAGTTTACAAGCTCTTTTTTTTCTTCTTTAAAAGGCAGCACTGCAGCATGGAGAGAGAGGACAGGGAGGAGGGGGGAGAGAACAACAATAAAAGCACTGCAGTGGACTGGAGGCTACCGTTGGATTTGGGCCAATTTACAAACTGTCCATGAGACCAGAGATTCAAGGGGTGGTTCAATTGAAGTTCCCCCGGTCTTTCTTATCACTAATCTGGCATTTACAGGCGAGATGTGGTGGATTAGAAAGCAGAGGTTTAGCAGAGATGAGGGAGATAGTGGGATCAAAGATGGCTGGGTCCAGGAATTGCACTTTGTATTAAGACGTCACAAAATTCAATGAGAAATGGGAGAGTGTTGTAGCAGCATGAAAATGTGTCAATGATATCGGAAACTTAACTAAAGCAATCAGTATCTAAGATCATTTAGGTGCTTTAATGACATGCAAAACACAATAACTGGAAATAAAAATATGAGATCGTTTTTAGGAGTGTCAACAAACATTTTAGATGATTGAAGTTAAATGATCTTTTACTTATTCTGATACAGCTCAAGATTATTCTAAACCTATTCAGGTTCATTTCTGTCCTGTGAATGTGATTTTCTTAGGTTGATACCTGCTCAAATCTAGTTTTAGTATCGATTAGTACCTGATTTTTGATATTTTTGACAACCCTATAGCACACTAGTCTAATTATAGATTAATTAATGACATTGAGTCTGTAATAGCTTATGACAACCTTAGTCTTTTCTGTACCAAAACATAACAATGAAAATACTATACAGGACTACTAATACAATTCAAAGAAACATAATTTTTACAGTATTTTTTGGAAAATTGTAACTTTATTGGTTCAAATTATACTTATACCTATATTCAGATGAAATCAGTGCAGCATTAGTTCTTATTTTCAAAAATACACATAGACAATTTAAGCATTCCTATTAAGTACAGTGATTTTTGTTTTTATTATACATGTTTAATTTCAACATAAATTTATCCAGTTATAACTTATGCAGGATAATATGTCACAACTCCAACCACCATCTTTCCTATCCATGAGGTTTAGCTTCCACTTTGAGGACTTTCCCCACTTATAAAATTGTAAGACGCTATCGCAACAATCAAAATGTCTCATCCTGAAGGCCACGGATATCTGTCAGTCTATGAGTTGAGCTGTAACCAAAGCTAAACTGACATTATGTCCAGGTCAACCTCCCTCTTTTCATGTATTTGACC